TGGGTTTGCAATTAATGTAAGACTTATATTCATATGCCTACAAAATTTATTAATTAAAACACAGATATTTTTAATAAATTACTATTGTTTAATATAAATTTGTTAAAAACGCAATTTTATTGGTTTATTCATTTTTGAGTACCAAAATATCAGCCATTCTTCTATTTTAAATAAAACATATATTAAAACACAGCTTAATGTCAAGGAAAATACCTTGAATTATTTACACGACACCATTTTAAGTTAAACGCTTACTGGTCATGAACAAGAAAATATTTTTTTTATTTTTCCCTTATATTTTTTCGTTTTAATTTGACTATATCTTACCTGTACATGCCACTTGCACGAATTTTCAAATTATTAGTGGTCTACAAGGGTATACAGTTACTATAGCTCACCAGTGTGAGAGTATGTTAACAGTATACTTAAATACACGCAACCACTAAACGTATAATAGCCATTGAAATTTAATGACTTAGCATCCAAACGTACGTCAAATCTTAGTTTCAACACCTCAACTTCCCCTCTAACTACTTAAAAAAACACTCGTGTCGATATATTAATGTCACTTTACTAATATGTTTCACGTTTGGATCATCTTCTACTAACTTTTTAATGCTAATACAATTTAGTATAGAACTACGTAATTCATTTTACTAATAAAAATGCGAACATTTATTATAGTCAAAAGAGCTACCCTATACGACTCTCAAGTTACGATATTAGTGTTATGAATAATTTAATGTAAATTAAGTCGTAATATATAATATTTTAGAGTAACTGTCTGCATATGGCAAATACTAACCTTCGCCAAAAAATCGGATACAAATAGACTAAACATTTTACCAATAATTTATTCTCTTCTGTATCTTTTGTCCAGCAAGAAAAAATGATATTTTTGTGAAGCGCTTTATTTAAAAATTATAAATTTCGGTTTATGCTACATATGTAGAATACAATGGCTTTTTAAATGTATTCAGAACGAATTTCCAGTCAATATTGTGCAGAGTCCAAATAATTCTATTTGTATATTCTGGTCATTCAGCGATTTCGTCAGAAAATGTCTTCAAAAATAGGTTTATTTGATTGTCGTTTTCTATTCCATTTGAACAGTTACAGCTAGTTAATATACAAATGCATACCGTGTTCAGCTGACTAGGTTATTTTGAAACTAAGCGTAAAATTCTAAGGACGTTTCGTAAATATATTTTAAAGAATGCTTTCAGAAGTTTTGCAGTTAAGAAAATATTCTAGTTTTAAATTATACTTAATCACATATCTATTGAGGGCTGTGGGGATAACAATCCACATACTAGTTCACTAATTAAATTTCTTGTATGGACAATTGCAAAATTATCTTCGATACAAAGCTGATAAGATATTGGTTTTACCATGATATGTTTTTTTTTTATTTGCGTGTCTATCCATAGAAATTCTCAGCTCTAAATAGACCGATTTGTTGATCTATACTTCAATAACCCATTTATTTTAGTTGAACTAATCTGTCCCAAAAAAAATTAAAAAAACCTCCTGAATTCTAAAAATGTATAGTGTCGAAAATGTTCCAGGACGTTTGCCCACTATTAACATACGTAATATAAGTAAGATATAAGTTCTATGAGTACACTTCAGTATAAAATAAAAAAAAACCAGCACAGGGAGGTCGCAGCACAGTTGTGACGTGGCATAGTTGGATCAAGTATAATGATATCTGACAGTGATTAAAATCAATATAAAAAAAACCCTTCGATGCAAATCTTTAGATAGTGTTTAATTTTAAAAAATTGGTGGATTATTCCAAAAGCTACATGATCTGCTATTTTCTTCTTAATATCCTGAATGAAAAAGGGATTATTAAAAAATATTATTTCTTATAAAAAAATTATGTTGAACCATACACTTTTCAATAAGTCATAGCATTATAAAGTTAAAAATGTAAAAAATAAAATCGAGAATTTTCACACAATAATAGCATTCGGTAGCCATTTTCACCGTGAAGATCCGAAATTTTTTTTTTTCCATGATAAAGTACATTACATTAGCTTTAATTTAAGATATATATAAAAGTGTCAGACCTTCCGAAACATTTTCAAAAGTTAAGTTGAAAAAGTTGTCATTTTAAATCCCCCCTGTGGGAAGGTTAAGTGTCAGATTCACAAAAATTATATTTCAAATGATAGGTAAAGACATCAAGCATCTATAAAAAAAATGATATTGATATGTTCATTTTTGAAAAAGTTACGGCAGTTTTTAGTAAAAAAATTTAGAAAATTTCGAAAATTAGCGATTTTTAAATTTGTTATTTTTTTGGAGGTTTCCCCCATTTACGGGGAACCAGGGAAATTTTTTCAATTTTTAAGGGTAATGTCTTCGACTAGATACGATTTGTGATCTTTTGACGTATCGTTGAAAGAAATCCGTTCGATGAGAGCTGAGAAAAAGTGGTAACAGACACAAAAAAAATAAACACATCTTAGTAAAACCAATACCTTCTCAGCATCGCATCAAAGCTAATAATAATTTTCGAAAATTGTTCTACTATGAGGTATTTTAAATATCAATGTAAATATACTGGCATATTTTACAAAAAAAATTACTTTATTTTTAACTTTTGAAAATATTTCTGGACGTTTGACTATTCAAAATCTATATCAAAATAAAACGTTTTAATATTACTATAGATGAAAATAAGAAAAATGTCCCGACAATATTGTTTCTATTAGTTATTTGACTTATGTAATAAACGAAAAGTAAAACACGGTTGTATTTTGGGTTGGTCGGTCACAAACGGTCACCGACAATAATAGAATCAAAGTGAAAGGATCTCGAGGTACGTGTGCCTACAGAAGCACATCTAATGTATGTGAATATAGGATAAAAGGGCAACGAAAGGTTACTATTTGAGGCTCTTACATAAAAATATTGTACACACGAATTTGTGAGTATGGCGTTTTTTTATCCAACTATTTTAGTCAGTTCATTTCCGACTACCTATCTTACTCTAATTGTTTATTACTTAAAATTCTTCTATGAAGTTATTATTATAAATTTATTATACTAATAAATGTTTTCATTTTAATTATCTTGGTAAGACAAATATTCAGTTGTGATGACTCTTGTAGTTGATTTACTATTAATAATTACTAATATATATACATATACGCCCATAAACGCACTTAAAACTACGCGACTTTATTACTATATTAATTCGTATGTAACTGTTTCGCCAGTACAACTCTATATTAAATCTACCCAAGGTTAAAATCGAATTGAATATCCTTTTGAGATTTTATGTAAACCCTTTTTGTATATATATATATATTATGCTCTTTGACCACCTTCTGTGTAGTATTTTATAGTAAAGTAATTATTTACAACTTAAAAGTTAGTAAAACAAATAATACGATTGTAAATAACATGACTGTCCTGTGCAATAACTATTGATAAGTGGCTACCAGTTTTTCAATCTTCCAGAGAGTGATCTAAGGTATAATATTAATTAATAGATTATAGTAGCGTCCAGCACTTCAAACTAGACTGGCTGTTTGAAAAGTGGAGAGACACTTTCCAATTGGCTAATTAATACAATATTTAGACTCCAATATACATTTATATTTCATAGCTGATTATGCAAACGTGAAATCTCAAATATAATTGTTATCTCTATGCAAAATAGATATAAATACCTTTATGATATGTGGCCTACATCTTTTCAATCACCTAAAGGATGATATAGATTAGATGCAACTGTACTATAAATTTTCTATGCAATAGTTATGTTAGTGTCCTATTCTCCGAATGTCCGCACTATTTCCTTTCAGAAAACGACTGAGATCACATTAGCTAGTCGACAAGAGGTGAAATACTTAGGAGAACTCCTATGGTTATTTAAAATTTTTATTACGATATTATTGTGTAAGTATTGCGTGTCAACTAGGTTATGGCCCTTCAATAAGCAATAAACACAATGCGATGTAACTTAATAGATTTTATAATGTGTAGTGTGTAAAAATAATAGATAAATAAACAAATCAAACAACAATGTGTGTTTATGCGTTGAAATAGTTGTTCCGCCTAAAGTGTTTGACTGAAGATAGATGTGTTGGAATTCTTTTAAATCCCATTGACTAAAAATGAAATATGTAACGGCATAGATTTTATATAAATGATATCCAATAGCAAACTTGTTTTTTTAAAGAATGGTTTACTATAATTTTCAAATGTTATTTAACGATCACTGGTGAGATTTTTAAAATATGTTCTGTTGAATTTCATTGGTCAATGTAATAGAGTCTTTTACGTGGGCATTTTATGGATGTGTAAGAGTTAAGTAGAGTTTTGTATAAAAAAGGCATTATTTTTTTATTTATCATATCCACAAAAGAAGACGGTTTTGGTAATATATTTTTATTGTATATGTATTAGTTATTACATGTATTAAAGTTTATTACTACACTTAAAAATACACTATTTCAACAAAATATTTAACAGATTCGCACCGAACCGTTTTTTATGGTAGAGATGTTAATCACTCTCAGATATCATCTTCTATATTTGTACCAACTTTTGCGGCGTACCTACTGTGCTGGGTTTTTTGTTTTAAATCAAACCCACTTTTTAAATTACTAAACTATTTGAGAAAAAAATTAATATGATGCCCTGAATTATTTTTGACCTAAATTACTTAAATTGTTAAAAGAAACAAGAACGAACAAAAATGTAATATTAGTTTATTATTTAATAATATTTTGATAATTTAATCTTTGACAAAATATTAATACGAATATAGATATTTTAACATTATTGATTTAAAAATGAGTAACCCAAATAATAAATTCCAACTATATTATAAGTATATTTTAATATTCCTTGTACGATATTTTGTCTTTAATTCGAAAATATGACAAAACTTTTATATTAAAATGTAATTTAGCTGTAACTTTTACCTAAAGTTGATTTTCCTAACTAATATTTCAATTTAAATTATTTTAATTTCATAGTGGATACAATGAGCTAATTAAAATAACGAAGAATTGTTTTGACCTTAAAACATAATGAAGAAAAACAAGCTAGTCCAGTTGCCTAAGTTTACATGGGTTGTGTTGACACTTTTAATTGCGGGACCCTGTGGTAAGTATTGAAACACAATGATTATTTGCACAACATATTTTGTTAGAATGTAACAATAAGCTAAAATTTTACTAATAACTATATTAAAAACTATATAAATAAACTGTTCACTATGTAAAAACTTCTCTTCATAATAGAATAAAATTACCAACTTTTAATATTCTTTATTTATACAAAATAAACCCTTTTCGAATTAATTTAAAAAGTTTGTTATGTTACTTATATAAAGTAGCTAAACAATACAGTGGGATTCTGTACACGCTTTGTATTATACGCATATTGAATTTTAATCGGCCGCCAATAGAAGAAATATCAATTATCTATATTCATAATGCATCTAAATAATATGGGTTTCACTAGAATATAACATATGCACAGGCTATCATACTTTGAGTTTTCATTTTATTTCAAAAAATTAGTATGATTGTTTTCCTTTTTTAATTTATATAACCATAAAATCATTTGACCATGTATATCTGTGATCTCGTGTGCTCAGTTTCTTCAGCATCAATTTTGTCAGTTAATACGTCAAAAAGTTCCGAACTAAATCTAATTGAAGACATATACCTAAGGTTTTAAAAAATGACTCTCAATTTTCTTGACTTCAATACACAAAAAAGAAGGTAATAAATATACTATGATTTGTTTTTATTTGTTAAACTGTCTCAAAATATAACAATCGTGAAAAATGACCAATTTGATCGATTTTTGTGTCATGTTTGTGTGATTAGGAGGTGTCAACCCTCCCCATAAAACGAATAGTATTTCTACGTTATTATACTATTCTATAACAAAGTTTGTGTATGACTACAAACATACTTGGGGGTTAAAATAACTAACAATTTCTTTGCATGTAGATGTTAGTTTGATACTTATTATAAGGTTAAAATATTTGATGATGACATTTTTTTTTATGGTTAATTTTTAGTTATTACAAAACAAAAACAAACTTTTAATAAAATAAATAAAGTATTTCTTGTAATTACTTCGACTAGAAGATATTAAAAATTGTATTATAAGCAACAAAATAATCGATTTTTTAGACGCTATAAAATGTTTTTAAAAATAGTAATATCAATTACAACTAAAATTATATTTATACTTAAATTGTAGCTACAGTGTTAATAGGTTCTTCTTTCGTTGTTACTATCATAATATTAAATAAATCGTTTAAGACATTCTTTTTTAATTGTATTTTTTTAGAACTTGCCAGAGCTGTTAAAATGCTTGGTGTAAAGATTCCTGCATTTATATTCATGGGTGATTCGGTTCAGCTGTTCTGTGATTATGACATGCAAATGGACAACTTATACTCAGTTACTTGGTACAAAGATAATGAAGAATTTTACCGCTTTGTTCCATCCTCAATACATCTCAAACATAGTTATCATATGGATGGAATAACAGTTGATGTAAGTATTTATTTTCATAAATAATATTTTTTAAATATCAAGAACTTTTTAACATGAACTTATAACCAGAAAAATATTTATTATTTATTTTTATAATAGAATCTCTTTATTTTCTTTAAACTATTTATTTTTAAATTCGAAAAAAGATAACAAAAAACTATTACCAACCACTTATTAATGGTAAAAATCTGATGAGCTATAATTCAGATCTTAATAATAAAAATAAATACATCTATGTATTAATGCTATTAATTACTAGCTCATCAAGTTACCCCACCCTCTATTGATTTGACAAAGCATAGCCACGCCAAAAAATAAATTTAATATCATTTTAATTACATGTAAAGTATAAAAGTTCTACTAACTCCTTAACGTTTTTATAATTAACAAACATAAGCATATTAAAATTGTATTACTTAAAAATACTTTAGTTACCCGTATACTTGATTAATCATTTAATAATTTTTTGTAACGATCGATTTATACTTATAAATATTTAAATCGTCATTTTTTAAGTTTCTATTTATCAAACATTTATTCTAATACTTAAATATACACATTGTTTAACTCTTTAAAAAATAAACCTTATATAGATTAAAGTTATAAATAATGAAATGTTTACAAAAAATGTCTTCATTCTTAAACTAGTAAATCAAGTTTAGCGATGTTATTGAAGTGATTAGTGTAATGATTAGTTAACACTTTTTAGCTTTTTAGAAATAATATATAGATAGACTTAAACAAACAAGACTCGTCTACCAATAACACTTAAATTTAATGGATATCGTAAATAACTTTGACATTCCCAAATGGACACTAAATCTAATCAATAGACGTACAGAATTTACTATTTTTTTCTTAACTAGCTTATTTCTAAGGTAAAATGATCTGGTATGTAGTAAATTCTTTTTGTTCGCAGATAGAAAAAAGTAGTTCATTTAATGCGTTTTAGGGTAATATTGAACCCAATTACTAAGGTCTAATATGTCATTATAAAACATAAATATAGCTCTTTGAATCATGATCCATTAAATTAAATTTTACATCTAAAATTTCGAATTTTTTCTTCTTTTTACATATAAAAATTATTGATAATGTCTTAAGAGAAGTAAAAACAACGTAGGTCTTTTAAAAAGACGTTATTAATACTTGATAGTTGCTTATAAAAGCAGTTTACTACGCTCATCTATATTTAAATTTTCTACTTTACATCCCTCCAGAACAAAAAATGTTTACTATTTTTTTTATTTATATAAGTAAAATTTTATAAACATAAATTTTTAAAAACAATTTTTTCTTTAGTAATCAACATTTATAAATGGACTTATTTTATTATTTCAATTTCTAATGTTGTATAAATTTTATGAATCCAAGCAGTTGTGACACTAATGTTAATGATGATTGATACATTAATCAATAGTTTAATATTTAACAAAAACCACTAAAAACTTTTACGTGTTTTCCCTTAACTAATGTAATGTGATTACACACTACCTAACAGTGTTTTATACAAAGAAATTATTGCTAGTGACAATCTTTAATGTTTTTTTCCTTTTCGCTAAGTTTGTACTTAGAAGTTGAAAACTATCAAATGTTTTACAAGACTAAACGACCATTTATAGTAAATTACCTACAATCAATAAAAGTAATTCATTAGTCTACAAATTTGTTAATTCGTTTTCAAATTAAACTAAATCATAGAATTAAATTGTATTTTTTTGATGTGACATAATCTATATTAGCTTCGATGCGAAGCTGAGAAAGTATTAATTTTTTTATACTAAAACCTTAGATATTTACCTTTCATTTAATATCATTTTTTTGAAAATCTATCACTTAGCCTGCTCATTGGGGGGGATTTAAAATAGCAACTTTTTTACAAAAATTAACTTTTTCAACTTAATTTTTGAAAATGTTCCGGAAATACTGCGTCCTTCAAACATATATCAAATTAAAGCTTATTTTATGTACTATAAAATGAAAAAAACAAATTTGTCCCGACACTTTATCTTCTATATTTAAACGGCTGCCGTAGTTAAAAAAACACTATTTTTTGTTAAAATTTTCGGTTTTCGATTTTAAATTTTCAACTTAAAAATGCTATAACTTTTTGAAAAATGTATATATCAGCACAAATTTTTTTTTTCTATATACATTATAAGTACATCTTTCATTTAACATACTTTTTATTAAAATTTGACAATTTCCCCTTATATAGGGGGCGTTAAAAACTTGAAATATTGTAAAAAACATAGATCTTTTTCAACTGAACTTTTGAAAATGTTCCGGGAATACTGTGTCCTTTAGACATATATCAAATCAAAGGTTATGTTATATACTATCAAATGAAAAAAAAAACATTTGTCCCGACGACCTATCTTCTATGCTCAAATGGCTACCGTATTCAAAAATAAGCTATTTTAACAAATTTTTTTTTTTAAATTAAACACTATCTACAGATTTGCATTGAAGCGTTTTTTATGATAGTGATTTAAATCACTGTCAGATATCATCTATACTAGACCCAATTATGCCACGACCCCACTGTGCCGCCACCTCACTGTGCTGGGTTTTTATTTATCAAATATACAGTATTTTAATTATTGAAAAAAATTTTTTTTTTAATTTACCAATAATATAAAAAACTGTTTCAAGGTATTGTTTGTGAATATTTGAATTTTTCAAAAATTATTACAATTTGTAAAAGTAACTTAAAAGTATAAAAACGCTCTAATAAAATAAAATATAACATATAAAATACAATAAATATTCCATATTATAATATTTCATACAGTTAATTTTTTTTGTAAATTAAAAAGAAAATTATTATTTTTAATAAATAACAAAATTATTATTTATTATAAAATTTTTATGGTCCCAATACATTGTAAATAACAATAATTGAAAAAAAGTAACACAAAACATTGTCAGCATTAAAACTTATTGAAGTTGTCAGAATATGAGGGACCATCCTATATAATACAAAATGGAACTATTCCTATATAAAAAATGTATACTAAAATATTAAAAATGTTATAAAGAACGCACATTCAGACAGTAAAAAAGTTACATTAAGATATGCAAACTTGCTAATGAATGGGGAGTACAAATGTGAAGTGTCAGCTGAAGCGCCATTTTTTACAACTGTCCACGCAGAATCAAAAATGGCCATCGTAAGTAAGTAACCAATTATTAAACATATTTTTTATAATTCACTAATAAAAACTAATTAACAAACAAAAAATCTGTAAAAAAACTTAACTATCCTTAATCTATCTCTTTTTTAAGCTACTGATAAATAAGCACATATTCATAGATATGTGAAGAATTACATGTTCAGTATGAAATTAAAACTAAATTTACCTTATGATAAACATCATAGATTTATCTATGATATTTTATTTTATCCTTATTATTATTATGTATGTATGTTTGTTCATGTTAATGCATTCTTATAATAATAAATCATATTAAATGGCTTATTATTTAAAAAATAGTTGTACATAAATTTTCTCTATTTACAATAATGTATCTCTAATGAAAATCATGATATGTAAAGTACACCCAAATCACGAGAAAACAGTGTATTGAGAATGTCATGAAATCGAGTACATCAGTATCTTAAGTAAACCTCAATAGTATATTCGTTAATATTAATTACGTTTAGTGCTCTTCAATACTATACAGGTCACATTCATTATGCGTATCGTTTTTGAAATGTATTCCGACACTGTTTATTTTCACTTAAAATAATTTATTTTTGTTTTTATCATTATTATTAATATTATGGTTACTTGCATAATTTATGAGTCTTTTTAAAAATATTTCCTAGACGGTAAATGTTTAACTTGTGAATTTCCCTCCCTTGTGTAGAACGTTAAAAATATAAAATACATTAAATGACCAAAATGTACAAGGGAAAATAGTTTTTTGATACATTAGAAAAAATAAACACCAAAGAAATATACAGGTATCAAACTCGTTTAATTTATATACACAGTACTCATAATATAAATAGAGTTCTTTATTTAGATGTTATATCATATATGTAGCTAATGTTGTGTTTCGTTCATGAATTTTTTATCTACAAAATAGTAGGGTATGTCATAAGAATAATAGTAGAAGGTATACAAAAATACACTTCTACGGTTGTAACGCATCTTTTATTTTTTCATATTAATCTGCTAATAACTTATGATTATTAAAAATATTATTATCTCTATACATATTTTAACAGAGTTAGCTTGAAACAAAAAATTATTTTTCTAATAAAAAATTCAATACAGTGACAAAAGAGCTACAGTAATTGACGACATCCCAGTTGAACAACTGAAAAAATAATTGAAAAGATAGACGGCTCATTTTCGACGTATATAAGGATCAAACAACAGAAATAAATGTAAATGAATCGGTAAAAGAAGCAAAAATAAAGAAGGAGTGAGACAGGATCCCAATTGTCGCCCTAACTATTCAATCTTTTCATTGAAATGAGCATAGATCATTATATCTAAAACCAAGACCAATGGATAAAAAATAAATGGCCAACATATGCACGTATTCGCTTTGTGGATGACATTGTTTTCCTAATTTTCCTAGCCCTTTTATATTAAACTTGTGAGAAAGTGGTGAACCGAGGTTAGTTTTTCTTAAGAATTTAACTTTTTTTATCCTGCCGTCTGTTTGGCGTCACAAGTGCGCTTTTGATAATTAAAAAGATTGACAATAATGTAAACATCACTCCGAATGAGCGATATATATTTGTAAAAAATAATAAAATAATTGTTGGTCAGAAAAGTAATTAAAATTGATAACTATTTATGTAGAAAAATTATTCTAGAAGTTTTTCGAAACTTGTATTTTATTTCATTACAGTAATTCAATTATGATTTAATAACACTAACGCGATATTAGATTGTAATATTTTTATTTATTTTTATAAAGGTTTACCGAAATTAAAAGATTTGCCAAGAATTCTAGGAGGTAATGGCATCTATAAGTCCGGTGACATAGTTTATCTTAATTGTACGTCTGGAAAATCATATCCAGCTGCTAAGCTTCGTTGGTACGTCAATAACGACAAGGTATTTACCAAACTTCAACATATTATTTAATATTTCTATAAATATAATAATAATATAACATACCTAAAAAACGTTAAAGGCATTGCACTCTCCGTTCAAAAAATAATTGTTGAGTACGTCACTGTATAAAGTGGGGCAAACCAGGGACATCTTGATTGCATGTTTTACACGTGGAAAAAACCGAGGAAAACAATATTTTCTATTTTATTCATTTTAAACAAACAAAAATTAATTTAATTAAAATATCAAATATAAGTTTATTATAAAAATAACTTAAATATTCTACACTGAAATATTATATATATATATATTAAGAGAGTCATAGTCTTGCGTCACATTCTCCTATTAAAATAATCACAACAATTAAATTAAGATTATCCCAGTCATAATACACAATAGTTACAATACATTTTAGAGTGAAAAAAAATTAGAAGACATTTTAAATTCAATTAAATCAATAAATATTAATATTAATATTGATATATATCAATAAATCATTTTTTCCTGATAGATCAAGCCTAGCTATGAACATACAGAAAAACTATACAATGGTTTATATGTCACAGTATCCATGTTAAATTTATCAACAAATGATGATTATTTTAAAAATGGAAAAATTAAAGTGACATGTCAGGCTGTCATCAATATTGGTCGACCAAAAGCATCTCCGCCACCGAAAGAATATAAATATGATACGGTATTATTAGGTATGTGAAATTACTCAAAAATATTTTTAATTTTAAGCTAATTTAAAAACTAAATCTTAATTACTACATAAAAATGTTATTTACCATTTTATAGACATATTCTGCAAAATTTTATATATAATACAAATTTGTTCATTCATTTTCGATTTGTAGACTTCACATCCGAAGTAGTATAAAAATATACAGAAAAGATTCTTACAAATATTAGTTTAATAGTACAAGTACACAGTGGCGTACCCTAAAGGATGGATAAAGGGGCTAAGTTCCCTTATTGACCAATTATTACATTATAAGCAAAAAAAAAAAAGTTTTTAAGCCCTTCCTCAAAAAAAAAAATCCTTCGTACGCCATTGCAAAAACAATTTAAATTAACAAATAAATTATCTTTTTATAAAATGCGTGAATATATTTCTAATAACTTATATTTCGTTTAATAATAAAATATAAATAAACCACACAATTAAAGTTACTTCTTTTAACATTTAAAAACTTATGATATCAATGATGTAGAATACGCTTATCTTTTTCTTTCTATATTTTAATTATGTATAGATAAATAGATTTTTTTATAACATAATGATAAAATAATAAGCAATTTTACTTTCCACTGTTTCCTGCCAAGTAAAACTCATTTCCTGTTAAAAATTTTGCTGAACATTTATGTATCTTAGAAGCACATGCTTTAAATGGTTTTTCTGGATTTTCTGTTTTAAATAATTCTTCAAGTCTTTTTGAATCCCAGTAACCACATATTTCTTTTGAAAGTTTTTTAATCAACTTATTTCTTTTATCTTTTTTCATGTGCATAATTTTCTTTTGACGCTCTTCAAATTGTACATTTTCTTTTTCCTGATCTTCAAATTTATTGTTTCCTTCCTTATTTTTTATATTTTTTTTACAATTTTTAGTATCTCTTTTATCTTTAGTATTTTTTGTATTCTTACTTAGTTTCTCTTCAATTATTATAACGTTTTTATTTTCAATTTTCGACTCATTACTTATTTCCCTTATATCATTACTTACCTTAAATGTTTTTCTCAAGTCTCGATGAATACTTTCTTTTTCTGGTGTTTGTGTATCAGTTGCTTTTTTTTCATTTTCATTATCTACTTGTGTAAAACGAGTTTCGTCAGTTTCGGATTTGACATATTTCTGTGAATTGTATTTATTGTAAAAGTATTCTATTGATGTTATAAAATCTTGGCCCATAATCATATCTGAAAAAATTATTTTTATTTAATACATTTTATTCAATAAAAAAACATTGAATATTTATTATTTATTATTTTATTATTATTTGATTAGGTTTCGCCTAGCTGGGGCGAACCCAGACCTGGGGACCTATGAGCCTCGAACGCCTTCAGCACGTAAGCCTCTTTGGGCCATCCTCATAAGTAGGCCACTGATTCCGGTAGGAGTACTCAGCTACGCCGGGCACTATATGTGTTTTGTAGGATAAATATTACATCAGAATCGGTGTAACAAAAATATATTAAAAATTTAATGATTAAAATCAAGAAAATTCAAAAAGACAATATGTATTGGGTATAAGATTGACGTTTGTTAATGAGGTATTCCCCATGGGCGTATTCAGAAATTATTTTAGTAGGGTATTTATTTTTTTTCTTTGTTAAAAATGCTATAGAATTTTTTTTTGCTAAAAATCAAAGTGATGATCAAAATAAGGTTATTAGATCCTTATTTCTCAGAAGGCGAACAATCACCAATATCCCCCTTAAATACGCCCCTGGTATACACAATAATTATTAATATTCTAATTATAATAATTGTATTCATATTACAGAATGATTATAAAAAAATTCGGCAGGTTTTATTAACTGGGACTAAATAAAAAATTTAATTTTGATAAAAATATTGTTTACTGTGATTTGACGTTGGACAGTATAGTTGTCATAGATGGATCCCAATTATTACGATAAACTCAAAGACTTATACATCATATATGAGATAAATAAGATTCTTAATACTGTACTATTCTGATAATGGATGTACAAACTTATATACTTTAAACCACACTAAAATTTTTGTATAACAAATAACATTCCTTGATAAAATATACAAAATATAGTGCTACGCGAAAGTGCAAAATAATATTTTAATATAAATTCTGGGTGGACAAAAAAAAATCCAAGCGAAAAAAGTAAGTTATAAAGCAAAAGTTCAAACAAAAGATAAATATAACAATAAACAGGATTAAATATATCAATAAATTTGTATTATAAACATATTTAAAAGAAATCGACAGAAAGTATCTTAATAAATGTATGCTTAATAAACTAAACATAATATTAAACAAAAAGATAGTTATAACTAACACGATCAATTTATATAACAACAATAAATTAATTAATAATGAATTGAATAGAAAATTAAATCGTCATAAAAATTCATATTTTACAAATTAATGATCATAATAAACATATGCGCAGAAATGAGTCATTGCTCATATCAACACCATGCGCGTGGACTTAAAAAAAAGAAAGTCGTAAAGCAGAGAAAAATGACAACATTGAATTGATNTGCGCGTGGACTTAAAAAAAAGAAAGTCGTAAAGCAGAGAAAAATGACAGCATTGAATTGATTTTTGTATGATATCTCAGAAATGTCATTAAGCGCGTCTGATGAAAATTTCAAACCTTAAGTCGTAAAGCGTTGTTGTCGGCAATCGTTTTTCTTGAAAACTGTCGAAATTTTAAAACGCTTGCTACGAGCGGAAAAAATTTTCCAAACTTCGCCAATAATTTTACCGGTATCTCGTAACCGAGTACTTTTGTTGAAAAAAACAATTTAGAAAATCTGAGCATGCCAAGTCATTTTCCCAGAAAAGCATTTTTCCTAATAAATAATAATAAAATTATAACTTAATCACTTCTTACACAACGTCAACAATATAAGAGACGATTCATTCAATTTGTGATATATTAAAATATTATGACTCTATCCAATAAATCATTTATAAGTATTATGGTTTGTGATTTTTGTATATTCAGATTCAGAATTATCACATTATTATGAAATAATACAAATTTTATCGAATAAATTAAATGTATAATCAGGAGCGTATTTAAAATTGAAAAGGCCTCTTCTAAGTCATAGAATCTCTTTCTTTAGTAATTTATAGTACACTAAAAATTGTTTTAAAATATTATTACCTGTATCCATAAATGGGTTTTCTTCTAATATTCCAACTTGAATCAAACATTGTTTTAGATCCTCTTTTGAACTTATAAAATCAGATTTTACACAATTTATACTTATCAGTCCACAAAAAATCTAAAGTATGGTACATATCGTATTTAATAAATATAGTAACAAAGCAATATTGTTTTTTAGAATTTAATGTTTACCAAATATAAGATTATGAAAATCGTTTTGAAAAATCTTTACGAAATAATTTCAACTATATAACTCTTATATAGTTAAAATTACTTTGGAGATGATACTTAGTATCCTTACAGTAGTATTCCTTTATATTGAAATAATCCAATATAGTTGGCTCATTAGTCTATTTATAATTATATAGTCTAAGTTTATATAATTTTATTTATAGTCAATATAATTATTTAACTACATTTGATACAATATGAATTTATAAATGTATAACACAATTTATTGATACATTTAAAATGATATTTATAAGAGCGAAATGTATGCACAAATTTACAGTATATAATGGATTTGAAATATATCTAAATATGTTTAATCAAAATATAATTGAGTTATTTTTAGAATAAAATAAATAATTGAAAAAATAACTGACTCTCGGTTTATTAAAAAGACTTGCTCAATTAATTGATTTAACAAATTTATAAAAAATAGTAACAGTTTTTTTTCATTTATAAAAATATCTATCAATAATTTTAATTTAAAAAACTAAATCTTCTTGAATACAAAATTATATTATTCTATTAATTGATTGGTGAAACTTATGCCTTTATAATACTTACAAATAGAAACTTATTATTTTTCATATTGAAGAGCTAATTTATACTTAAATCTTTTTGTTCAAATATTATAACACTAAAATATTCTAAAGCAGATGTAATTAATTAAACAAGTAAGATAATTTAATTTAAGTAAATAAACACAATTGAGATCATGTCTTGTTATGTTAGTGTTAATAAGAGTTCCTCGGTTTACACTCATTATAACCAATATCCGTTATCTAATCTATTTTTTTTTCATATGCTGTACTTTAGTAAGTCTATTGTACTTATTTATTAATAATATCTAATGTTATCTACACGACTAGTGATACTATCAAGTTCAACAAAATTCCTTTACTAAAAATAACAAACAACTGAAACTTAAGGTTAAACATTTCCTAAGAACATTTTTCACGACTATGTAATAACAATGGCTTGTTATTTGATGGTATTTTATAATAATCTTAAGTATTTCGTATATATCTCCAGCTAAGTGAAATATTAATTTGATACCATTGAAAAATATGATTCAATGACAGATGATTATTGTAATTACTACCCTTTAGTTCAGTTATTTATTCGTTATAATTACTAAAAAATAATAAACATTTTCTATAAAACAAAATACTAATATGTAAAATAGATAATTTAATGGTTGATAATCGTGTAAAATACAATAACGAATATACTTTCGTGGATGACAAAGGTAGCGCAGGTTGCGGTGTTTCGCATATCACAGATCGCCAAGACCCGTCTTGATACAAAGTCCCTAATGTAGTTATCAAATTTTATCAGAAAAAAATTATGATAATTTTACCAACACTATATTTTAATTATAGGCAGTATGCACATAAACATAATTTATCAAATAACATTTTATTTGATAAAAGAAATAAAATTTATTGAATTTTTTTAACGTTTGATCAACAAACAATAATTAATAAATACTGCAGTATTTTGAATTTATATAACATTCGGAAATTAAATAAAAAACAACATATATATATATATACATTAGGTTTTTGAAATGAATGTGTTATTAAAAAATTTCAGGGGAGGGTCTATACTTGCATACTGTAATAATAATATATTTTGGTTATATAATAACTTTTGATATTTTTACCTTCATAATTATTATGAAGGTAATACAATCAAAAGTTTTATTTTCATATAGCAGTTTAATGGTCATAAGTTCTAAAGTGAATTTACCGTCCCAACTTGACTAAACCTATCTAAATGAAAGAAATAAGTAATGAAGTTCTAAGAAACTTTTTCTCATACTAGAAATATAATATATTACTACACTATACTATACTCATACTATATTTGTTCTACAAATACAGATTTGCGTAGTCCTCAATTCTAATTTTAATTAAAATTAACTGATAAGGTATAGGACTGCTCAACAGTAACATCAAAAATTACCGCACAATGAAAAGAGCAGTTTCTTTATACTCACTCCCTTTGCTTTATATACACACTCGCATGTATGTTATTTGTTTAGTGTTATTTGTTTTACCAAAACTTTTCCTCTTCTGCTTATTTTTGTTTCCGTTAAATCCAAAACCGTATTCGTGGCACATCCGATTCCTCTAGTTCATTTCCATAGAAACAAATTACAAACTACACTACAGCAGACAAGGAACACGTTGCTTCAAATCGTATATACGACACCAAGGTACCGGTCCCCGTGGAAAAATACTAAATTTACATGATGTCATAATAACGTTTCTCCTTTCCACACTATTTTCTCGGTTAGTTTTAATTAATTCGATAGTGTCAAATATCACATATGAATTCTAATTATTTCCATAATCATGTTCCTTATGCTTATTACCGAATGAACGGTATTCATATTCTTACTACAATTACTCTTTACGCATATTCAATTGTAGATCCAATATCATTACATCGTAAACGTTTACAGAATTTTACTTAAGTAATAATATTTCATTGAAATTATTTATCACCCCAGAGTAAGTAATTTGATTTGGAATTAATTTAAAAATTAAAAAAAGTAATGATTATAGTCGAGTATAAATGTAGAAGCTGTAAGTATTTAAGTGGGCAAACTGTGTGGGTAAGTTACGAATGGCCTCGATTTAAAAATAAAAATATGCTAGACATTCCACCAACCCTTTGAGAAATATATCCAAAATTTGGAATCAATGCCGTCGGTAGGTTTCGTGCCAGTAGGGCGAAGTGGAATAGATCACCCCAATAAAAATAATTAAAGATACAATTTTATTTAGTTGGAGGGGGTCATAAAAATATTTTTTTAAATAAAAGTACGCCAATTGTTACATTAAATATAATTCTCTAGGGTTAAAGTCAAAGACATAGTTGTCTGCCCAATTAAATATATTAAACTTAGAACTGAAAAATGTATTCATAAAATTTTTAATATTTCAGTTTGTGGATCAGCAACAACGTTTACCGCAACATTTGATTTTAAAATAATATTGCTAACACTTACAATAATGGTTTGTTCTGTAGAACATTTAGTAAGGAAGTTGTAGCGGAACTGTGAAATGACAAGATTTTCCTAATCATCTTTCTTCATTTATTGAGGAAAAGTGTCAATTATTTTGTTAATTGTATATTTTACTTATAAAAAATGTTTTTTATTTTTTAACTGAATATGTAAATATATTTTTTATCTGTATAACTGACTAATTACTCACTCTCATTTAGGTACAATTAAAATTAGTGTCAGATTAAATGAGGGACAATCAAAACTGTTGTCTAAAAGCGCTGAATTTTGCTGAATGTAAACTGTAGCCTTTCTGAATAGAAACAGAAAATATTTTAAATATCAAAAAGAACTACTATCAAATGTATCCTCTAGCACTAATAATTCTTTATTTGGCACTAATTTTCGAAGGTTTAAGATTAAAAAAGCATATCAACCAATTATTTTTCAGAAGAGCTAAATAAATTTTATTTATTTTTTTTTTAATATGCCTCCCAATATAATCAATGGTGCACAATTATCATATAAAAAAATATTTTATATTTTATAAATAGACTAATAATCAAAAATTCGAACTTTGGTTATGATATTCCATTAAATCTTGACCCCAGTTTTATAGCTTAAAATATTTTTTGCTGTACTGTCAATAGATATAAATATATACAGAGTGATCAATTTTTAAACATTTAAATAGGATTAAGTCTACTTATATTACCTAGCATATTTAAATATAATTTTAGGTATTAACATTTATATACAGGATGTTCAGTAAGTCAGGAAACGGGTATCTATTGTTCTCATTGTTACAAACAATGAGAACAATAGAAACCCATTTCCTGACTTACTGAACACCCGGTATATAAATACATTTTTTACTAAATGTTGAATTATAATGAAGCTGTTGTTAAAATAAAAGACATTGCATTTACAGTAATTTATTACATATCATTGTAGCTGAATTTTACTGAATTAGAAATATGTTTAATTGTTATGAAAAATTATTTTTGAATGTATTGTAAAACAAATAAATTTAAAAAGTATTCTATTAAAAATTTGTACTAGTAGTATTTTATTACAAATATCTATAGCACTTATTATATTTTTGTTTAATAAATGCCTTAATTATTACTACTAAAATTCAATATCATTTAGAAACATATTTTTTTCACTGAATTTTTATTGTTAAAATTTTAAATCTGTATTCATTTTGAAAGTACTTAAATTTTTTATTCAAATTACATGTTTGAATATTATGGAAAATATTATTCAAGTACGTATTGGAGTAATATTTTTCAAAAGTATACACCAATACTTGAAAACGTTCATAAATAAGACTTTTTTTTTTATAATTTTAGTTTTGCTGAAATTTAAACGATTGGAGTAAAGACGTTAACTGGAGCGAAGGTAAGAGCCCTGCAATCAATTTCAATGTAATTTTTCAGAAGATTACTTATATTTCCAAAAACAATTTCCTGAAAAAGTATTGTTTGATAAGGAATAGGTAATTCATCTAATTATCAAACAATTTGAGATTTATTGAACTTTAAAATTATATAATAGATATTTTTATACAAATTACTTCTAATACTGAAAAATAAAATAAAATACTTTAATAAATGAATTTATATTAAATTTTGGTATGCAAACGACTAAAAAATAGTACATAATATTTTTAATAGTAAAAGATCCTTGTAAAATGTTTCATATAAAAATATATATCAGAAATAATTCAAAAAGAATAAATTGTGTAATATTTCATATAAAAAAAAATAATGACGTTATACTCATTCAATCTTTGAACACCATCAATAAGTCACTTGTTAAAATAACGAGCAAGTCATTATCAAATCAGTATTTTGAAATATCCCAATTCAAATATTGGTTTTTATTGCTATCAAAATCCTTTAACAATAGCGTTTGTATACTACTATATAACAATAATATAAATAAAATTGTGTTAATAAACTATCTTAATTAAAATAATATTACTTTTAGCTTCTATGCGAAGCTGAGAAGGTATTGGTTTTACTAAGATGTGTTTATTTTTTGTGTCTGTTATCACTTTTTCTCAGCTCTCACCGAACGGATTTCTTTCAACGATACGTCAAAAGATCACAAATCGTATCTAGTCAAAGACATTACCCTCAAAAATTGAAAAAAATTCCCTCGTTCCTCGTAAATGGGGGAAACCTCCAAAAAAATTACTAATTTTCGAAATTTTTTCAATATTTTTTACTTAAAATTGCCATAACTTTTTTAAAAATAACCAAATCAATATAATTTTTTTTTTATAGATGCATGATGTCTTTACCTATCATTTGGTATATATTTTTTTTATATCTGACCCTTTAGCTGCCAACAGGGAGGGATTTAATATGATAACTTTTTCACAAAAAAATTACTTTTTCAACTAAAATTTTGAAAGTGTTCCGGAAAGTCTGACACTTTTATATATATCTTAAATTAAAGCTAATGTAATTTACTTTATTATGAAAAAAAAAATGTCGGACTTTATTTTGTCTTCACGGTGAAAATGGCTACCGAATGCTATTATTGAGTGAAAATTCTCGATTTTATTTTTCATTTTTAACTTTATAATACTATAACTTATTGAAAAGTGTATGGATCAACATAATTATTTTATGAGAAATAATATTTTTTAATAATCCCTTTTTTATTCAACTTACTTTATCATTATCAGGATATTAATAAGGAACTAGCAGATCATGTAGCTTTTGGAATAATCCACCAATTTTTTAAAATTATTAATATTATTTTACTATTTGGTTTTTTTTGTAGCTATCATTTATTTTATCAGCTCTCACTTGACCTACTTTATTGACAAATTTTTTTTTTAAATTAAACACTATCTACAGACTTGCATCGAAGCGTTTTTTTTTTTTTGATAGTGATTTTAATCACTGTCAGATATTATACTTGATCCAACTATGCCACGTCACCACTGTGCCGCGACCCCCCGTGCTGGGTTTTTTATACTATAACTGGTATGCCTATAATTTCAATATTCCTCACAAGCTACTTTACATTTTTGTCATTCATTTTCTTACGCGCCCTTGAATTTTTCATGACTTAGCACAGCTCCTCAAATTTGTTTTCGCAATTTAAAATGAATTTGAGGTGAGCTAATATTTTATTTTTTTAGATAACTGCATGAGTAAAGGTAGAGACATCCACCATTTATATTCTTCATTTGTCACGTGATTTGATTTAGCTAGCAACATCTAAACTTTAAGCACTTTTATATACAAATTTCAATATCAAATCTCATTAATTCAATTAATTGAGCTGTGTTATCAATTGTAAATACTAAAGATTTTTTTTTTTTATAGAGTAACTCTTATTTTTGAACAATATCTTCCTTATTATACAATTACCTAACTTCAACTTCATAGTCATTTAATTAATTAATCGCACGATAGGATTATTGTCTTAATTAATAATAAAAATGAATTAAATGATACAAAGAGTTCCGAATAATAAACAATGTTTTTAAGACTGAAAAACAATTTAGAAAATAATACGACAAAAATAATAATAAATGCATTAAAAAATGAAAAATGATCTCTGGAGATAGAAAATCGGGAGTGGTGAGTTTCCATTAGAAGTCTTTTTGAATTCGGTGCTTTTGATAACATGTTGTTGATAAAATAAAAAGCTTGGAGACTAAACACGTGTTCATAAATCCCACGGCACCAATTTGTCGATTTTTGAATTCAAAACCAGAAAAGGTTTCTCAACTGTCAAGTTTCGCTATCATCGGTAATAATTTTTTTATTTATGTTACACTTACTGTCATTAACTTACTATTCGCTATATCTACATGACGAACACACGATAGATATAAAACATACCATTACTTAAAATTACAATATGATCACCTTTAACTTCCTATAACTTTTAGATAACTGATATACAGTGGTACAGCATGTTCTGACAAGTCCTATAACTTTTGATTAAACTTTTAATTAAAATTAAATTTTCCTAAAATAAACTGCCACTCGTGTGAAAAGTTTCTTTAAAAAGTAAACTGCCACCAAATTACTCATAAAATTATACTGTCATACTATTACCTGGATGCATTTACTAATTAATTAATTTTTTTAATACAACTTATTTTTATATTTATCATTTATGAAAACTTAAAATTAATTAGTTAATCTTTAAATATAAACTCAGCCAAACGTAGACATAAACATTGTAGTACGTCGGCTTCACCTGACGTAGACACAAAAACATACAAAATTGTACTTTTTAATGTTAACCGTGTTTCTTTGGCTCTTCCCGAGTACACTTGTCGGAATACACCCAACATCTTAATATTCTCAAGATATCGAGCCACTATTATAGTAATTACTAATTAAAGATAAATTTTAAAACAATGCAAAAAAAAATTGGTGTTAGCTATCCCTAGCCACTTTATGAAGGGCGGCAATTTTTTTATTAGTATTATAGACTAAAAAAACTAGCACAGTGGACACATGTCTAAATATCTGATAGTGATTAATATCACTATAATAAAAAACGCTTCGATGCGAATCTGTTAAATTTCAGAATAATTTCTATATTAGTAATTTTAGAATTTCTGTTTTTAAATTTCACTATAATATTATATTGAAATTTATTAGTATGATTTTAGAATTTTATTTTAATATAGGTTAAAAGTGAGCAGACGATCCGCAACATTTTCAAAAATTAATTTAAAGAAAGTATTTTTTATAAATAAGCGGTATTTCAAATCCTTCCTATACATTGTTTTATTATTTTTCATAAAAATCGAACCAAATAAAAGCTTATTATCTCATATAATTATTCTAATAATAGAATATTATTCTATTAAAATAACAAATTTCATAGCATTTTAAAATGCAGAAAATGAATTTTAAAAATAACATTTTTTTACGGTAGTATGCTTATGAGATATTTTTTTAAATTTCTAAAATTGAGAGGATTTTTCAAAATTTTGGCAACCAAAAGTTTTAAAATAGAGTTCTTTTGACGCATAGATTAACAAAATTAGTCCAGTGAGAACTGAAAATTTCCATGAATAGACATAAAAAAAAACTATCATGATTAAAGTAGCACGTATCGAAGTTAAAATCAATATTAAAAAAATTTTAATATTATAATCGAATAATTAAAAACTTAATTAATTTTTGCCGAATTTTTTTTTTTATCAAAAATATGATGGAGTACAAATTTTTGAAAATTTAATAACCAAAAGCCTTTGTATGAAACAATTAATCCTAAAATGAACCGTTTGTTAAGTATAAGCATAAAAAAAAAATTTCCCATAAAAGTGTAAATTTATTTTTACTGCTAAAATAAATTACTTCGGTGTTACTAGTAATAATTTTTTGTGATAAATTCTCACCAAATGTATCTACCTCATTACCTCTATCATAATATAAGGAAAAAATAGAAAATTATCCCATAAATCGCCTAAAAGATTAAACTTAATTAAGGAAAATAATAAAAAAAACACAGGACTGAAAAATTATAAAATATAAGTATTTAATGATGGCACAAAACTTTAATTTTAATCAATCATCTTATTAAATATTCTGTTAGATAACTAATTAAAATTAACAAACAATATATACTAACAAAGAAGCGTAGAAACAACACTTATGTGCACCTGTAGGTCCTGACGGACGACATACTTGTATGTCNTGTTAGATAACTAATTAAAATTAACAAACAATATATACTAACAAAGAAGCGTAGAAACAACACTTATGTGCACCTGTAGGTCCCGACGGACGACATACTTGTATGTTGGTATATACCGGTACAGTATCCGTCCATTCACACATTTACTCATGCAATGAAATTTATTTGATAACACAATTTTGACCAAATTTTGTAGAACTTAATTTTTTTGTACATATTCAAACATGAATTTAATTATACTAATGGATTAGAAATATACATAAAAATAGAAATATACATACCAAATAATCATTTTATTTAACAATTAAACTATAAATTTTTTAATATCAAATACAGTAATTAATCCTCATCTTTCTCAATTATGTCTTCTAATTCCTCAGATGCTGTTTTATCTTCTGGAAAACTATTTGAACTATTAATAACATTTGATGAATAATATGGATCAATTTTTGAAATTCTCATTTCCATTGAACTTAAAAAGGGTGATTCTCTAAATTGTGGCAAGCGAGTAAAAGTTAAAAACACTTTTAAGAATTGATCAGGTGTTAGATCACCAAACTGGGTGAATATTGTATGTCCAAGAGCAAAAAAATGAGGTCCACATCCAGGTATCCACTGTCTAAAAAGTTAAGGAAAAATTTTTTTTATTAGTTTTAAAGTGACAATAAAAAAGGAAAGTAATAAATCTATTAATTTATAATTAATATTTTATATAATTAATATTAACTTTCAATTACAGTAATGAAAACCTATAACTGTTGAAATAAAATTATTTAGTAAGAGATTGAAGTCTAATTTTAAAAAAAACTAATTTTAAATAAATTGGAAAAATTATTATAATTAATACAAAGTTAATCAATTAACACTAGCCACTCGATTTCTTTTTGTCAACTTTGATTTTAAAATAGATACATATTTTACTAGCTTATAAAATAAAAAATGATATAAATGACTTGGTGAAAACAATTTTCTACCCATTACATATTTTATTTTGGAAGTTATTAATATCTTAAAATATAAACTGAAGGCGAGTTGCAAATACTATAATGTTTATTATTAGACATTTCTAAACCACACTTCTCCTCCCTACCGAATTAACATCTATACTAGCTTTAGTGTACAGTGTAACAGAGTATTGCACTCCATTTTGAATTAGAAACGTTCATTATAACAAGATTGATGTACAACTAAACCAAGCCATGTGATTAATGACTGAAACAGTCAAAATCAAGTACAACTCTACTCCTGCCTATATTCCTATAAACCTCCACTCTACCTACAACAACCTACTGTCTACCTCGTCTGTATCTCATAATATTAAATTTTACTAATTTTGAATTTTGTCTTCTAATATTTTGTTATTATTTTACTTTTATTTAAATTTACATTTATTTTTATTTGTATATTTATGTTTATTATTATTATAGTTATATTATTTAATACTGAAGCTGTTATATGTAATAAAACTAAATATTCTTGATATAGTATATGTCCCTCATATCAAAGACGAAAGAATACTTACATAACATAAATTCATAAATTATTTTACACAATACGATGATGTCTGGTATGTATGTTTAGCAATACATAGTAAATTTATAAAATTAAGTCAACTCTCATGTTGACTTCAGATATTAATTTCATAAGTGTTATAAAAAATATCTTTTATAGATGATATAAAATATTTTTATAGCATTAAAATATTCAAATTGTTGCATGATTAAAATTTATTATCTTACTCTAACAGGGGTATCACAAAGTTTTTACGACTCAAAGTATGATGCTTGACAAAATACCAGTAAGGCTTCAATAAATCTTGAGTTAAACCTTTTTCATCAAAAATATCTCTGCGTCCTACCACTCGAATTAGAGAAATTGATTTTTCATCTGCTTCTTTTAACTGCCAAAAATAACAAGATATTAATTTCAGTAAATTGATAAATTCACATGCATTAAATTTACTTCTTTAAAACGTATTTTTTTATTTGTTGATCTAATTGATTTTGGTGGTAAAAAAGCACTTCTTGGGTAATTTTTTAAAAATTCAATTTCAAAAAAAGTTTGAAACAAAATAGTTTGAGTCTTGTAGTATTTGGCACCTGTTAGTGGTTCACTAGAATATCTCTGAAATGAATACAAAAATAAATTTGAAATATTTCTATTGAAATAATAAATAATCAATTGGTAATTTAATTTTAAATTATGTAATATTAAATAATATTAGGGATGGCATAGAAAACTCGACCTTAAATGAATCTAGTAGACTTTTTTATGTAAATCTGTACTCCAAAGATAAGCTATATATTTTAAAAATAGAGGACTTAAGATAAATACCATTGATGTATAGAAATCTGGTAAACTTTTACACAACAAGCATAAAAATATTTCAAATAAAATTTAAAATGCTTCACCTCACTGTACTAATAAAGTAATACAATATTATTCTACCAGTTATAGGTTAATGTACTAAACAATAAGATTAGAATTTTTTTTTAGCTAATCTTTTTGGCGTTTAATTGAATAAAATTTTGAAATGCCAACCCTGAATAATATACATTATCAATAAAAATTTATTTGATCTTCATTATATTTACCGTAAATAATGATGGTGGTAAAAAAAAATAAAATTCGGGTCTGCCGTAGGTCATTAAGCCAGTTTGAAATGTAAAACTATAAACCATATAATTAAGAAATTTCCTATTTGGCAATCCGGCAATAATTCTAACTGATGGATCTATTTAATAAAAATTAAAATATAATACTTCTTAATTTGCAATTTTATTAAAATATAAAATTGAAAATTTTCAAACAAAATAAGTGTTATATTTTTATTTCACAGTTTTGTTTACCAGTTTCTGAGCTATGAGGCTTCCATAGATGTTTGACAAAATTTATAATTTTCAATGAATCTAATATTAGTTAAACAGTAAGGTTACCATAGCTTCTATAAAAAATTGGATTAGTATGATAAGTAACAACATTTTTACTTCATGAAACTACAAACATGTACTTAAAATATGAAGTGCATATTTAACCCAGTTTAGAAAATCTCTGATAATATTTTTTAAAATTAATTATGGTCTATCTACATAGTTATTATAATTAAAATATAGGGTCTAAATAAATTAAAATATGTTATATTTTTATGTAAGAAATAAAGAGTAATCTAAATTTCTATTGAAATTTTTTAATTTTCGTAGAGAAAAAAATTGTAATTTAAAGAACTCTACAATAATATGCAATTAAATTATTTTATTCGCCCCTTCAGTGATAAAAATCTTTAACTAAAATTTTTATTTTTTTTATCTTATTTATATATAATTTATATGTAAATAAATTTTAATTAATAAAAATTGGTTTATGTGATAGCATACAAAAATGAAAAATTCTGTATGTAAAACAGTGAAATAACAATAGAATTTTGGTCTAATCTCACTGAACATGTTGTAACAGGTTGAATTGTTTAAGCCTCTATTTTTCATTTGATTTACTAAGATTTATTAATTTATTTATTGAGTTAAAAATAGAGATTCTTATTAAAGACAATCATAGTTAAAGATTTTCATCTTCAAAGGGATAAAAATGCTTAACTATAATTGAAAAGAATATATAGCGAACTACACAAAATTTGTTACTATTTTTAGGAATAGGTACTAATGGTTATTTATAAAAATAAATTTATCAAAAAACAATATTTTAAGTATTTACACAATTTCTCATTTATTTGGTTTTGTAAAATATATATTTAAATAAAAATGCTAAAAAAGTTATATTTATTACCTTTATAATTCCATGGCTTTGAATGTGGTAAAATACTAGATAAGAATTTTGAAACCCTATCTCCCTGATCCATTCGATCTTGAAATCCAATTTTCCAAAGTAAAAGTAAATTTCCTTGACTTAAATGAATTCTGCTATGGTACTTGTGTTTTAAGTCCTAAAAATTTATGTTAAGTAAAATTTTATAAAATATTTAATTATGTTTAAAATTTTTAGTTATTTTAACTTAAAGAAAATTAATTATGTATCTAAATTCAATTTAATATCATACATCGATACTTTGGGCCAAGCAATTGCTACAATCATTATTTTTCTTTCGATTTTCATATTACCACACTATACTATATAAGATATTGTTACCATAAATTAAGTGATTACAATATCTTAAATATTATAAAAATAGACATAGCACTTGTGTTCTACAGTATTAATATATCAACACTATAACCAAGAAAATCTATTCATCAAACTTACCTTTAAAAAAAACTAATAAGAAAAATATTCAACAATTTAAAAAAAAATAATTTAGGCCTTTACGATACATTTAAATTAAAATTAACTGAAAAAATTGTGTACAAAATTAAATGGCATAATTATTTTTTTATAATGATAAAAATGGCCCACTTTTTTTATTTATTTAAACAAAATTTAAAGCTAAAAATCTTTTTCCAATAATTTAACCAATAAAAAATATTATAAGAATTTTTTACCATAAAGTGATTTTTAGTTATCAAATTGTTGTAATATTTATACAATATAAATGAATGAATGGTACAGAGGAAAAATGGTTATTGTTCGTTTTTGTAAATTTATCATGAGAGTGAAAATAGTTTTAAACTTTTATCTTTTTAATGATATAACAAAAATAGAATTTAAATATTAGAAAATTAAAATTTTTTTCATAGAATATATTTCATTAGTTGATAGATGCTATTGATAATGAGCTATTGAATCAAACTAAAAAATTTAAATTAAAAAAATGAATTTTCATCATTTTTTACTGTAATCATCATATATGAACCATGTATAATTCAAGTATACTTCATATAAATGAAGCCACCCTATCACTGCATTACAATTGTAATAAAGATATTTTTTTCATTTATTTTTAAGGTTTTTATTCAAATATTTGAAATAAACTCCTTTTTTTTTTCTTGTAGCAATTTAATAAAATTTTGAGTAATCATTTTAATTTCTGATTACACTATTGCTTAAAGCTTTTCCCCAGAAAAAATTCTAGATTTAATACTGGGTAAGAAACAATATTTTATAATTATTATTATAACATTTATTCCATAATGATAAAATACTTACTGTTAAAAATTCTCTGAATATTTCACAATCATTTTCATACAGAATCATATTATAATTTGTATCTTTCATTATGTAATTAGTTAGTAAACAAGGACCAGGATTAGCCTCTATTAATGTAAGTGTTTTTTGTTTATCAGGCTGCTTATCCAGATGTGAGCATATTACTTTAGCCGCATCTCCTAAAGAATTAATAGTAAAGATGTATAATTTATTTATTTAATAAAATTAAACATCTCCTACAAAATACTTGAATACTTTGTTAAAACTAGTTATATTTTAAGTTACATTTTATGTCTAGGTAAAAATTGGAACATTTTCTATGTTAGAAATAGTTAAAAATAGAATTAATTGATTTGAAAAAATTTGCAAGAGAATTATTGAGTAATGTTTTAAAAAGGAAATTTAGAATAACAATATACTAATAAAATTCACATTAATATTGCTAAAATACAAATTATATCTTGATAATCACTAGTGTATCGCACCTCTTATGTTGAAAATATTGATCTATAGTTAATATATAAAACAAAAGATTGACTGTTAGGTTTTTAAATATTAAGTCATATAGCTAATAATGACTTATATCAATATAAATTGAATTTAAGAAACAAATAATATTTTCTCTATATACCCACAATGTTCAATTTTAATAAGAAACTCATGTAAAAAAGTGACTAATAAAATAAACAATCACCAAATTTGTCAAAAAGGTTGTTTAAAAAACTACTTTAGCAAATTTTACATTAAATTCTTCTCAGACTTCACAAATTTTAGCACTGTTATTTCATAGTTTAGCTAGAATTGAATAATTTTCAATTCTAAAATCAAAATATAACATAATAAATCTATTAGAAAAAACATAGAACCTACTGGCTACATCTTGATTATGTACAAACATAGTTTCTGGATACTTGCGTTTTTTGTATAATGATATGTTATATTTTGACTCATCAATTTCTACAGACGAGTATAACCTACGAAATCGTTTTTGACCAACCCATTTCACAATAGAGTTCTTCAATAACCACACTCTATTCTTTATTATGGTCATGATTTTTTAGATATTTAATATTTTTTAAATATCTACATTGTATGAATACTATCTTCTATTTAATTCATCATTGATATTTTTTAAGCACTGTTTGATGAAATTACATGATAATTTCTATAAGAACAAAAACATAAACATTTATTTAAAAAAAATGAATACTGATAATATTTTAAACATGAGCATAAATAACAAGATAAATGTAGTGATAATGGATTAAAATTAATTTTCTTCAATCGATTTGTCGATTTAAACTAGGTGATTTTATTGTCGAATCGATTTATTTTTAGTTAATTTTTTAAAGTTAGATTTTTTTTAAATAAAAATTTTATTCTTTGGCATTTTTTAAGTTTACGATTTTTAAAATTTCAAGAAACGTTCAGTAACGCGAAAAAGGAGAAAGCAGCCTCCTTTTGACCAATATCGACAACCGTATTTGTGTCAAATCGGCGTTATCATTGCGTTCGTTTCGTTTGCCATACGATTTTGTTCAATATTAAACTGTTAATAAAAGTATAAGTTAAAAACTAGCAAAATGTTTTATTATTAATCATGTCATTACATATGTCAAAGGCTTTACCATAGTTATTCAGTAATATATCACTGTATAATTATCTATTAAAATGAAATTTATTATGCAAATGTATATAAATTTATTTTATTTTAAATTTTACCAAGATTCAAAAGCGCTATCTGGTTGATTATTCTATTAACTGTCATAATATTAATGTGTTAATATTTAAAAAAAAATTTTTTAATCAATTCATCTTGACCGATTTTTTCATTTAAATTGATTCACTTTTGAAAATCGCTTATCACTAGATAAATGTATGTTTCGATAACTTGGAGGATAATAAAAGAAAAACCTTCTCTTTTTCAGATAGGAATCATAATTGATAAAACCCTTATCTTAAGTTAATTTTTCAAAACTAGTAACCTAAATAAATAACAATAAAATTGAAATTAAATAAATGAATACGATAGAAAAATGCATACAGTTCTCTATTACAGGTGGTTTGATTTATCATCCTGCATAAAATGAAATTTTAATAATTCGAATAAATTTCTTGTATTAATGCTTTCCATATATAATCAGTGTCCAAAATTAAAGCATCCCCTGACATTTTGTGATTCGACTTAAAGGGGACGCTAGATTGTACTCCAAATAAGGGGGATTCTGTCCATCCTCACTTTAACCACTGCGAGTAACCCAAGTAACCAAAAAGTTTTCTTATACGGAACGCAAAAAAAAGTAAGAAATCCGGTCTAGTCTATGAGTATAAGATCTGTGATCTACCCGTGATTATGCCAGTGTTAAATGCAACGAAGTTTTTTTATTTCTTTTGATATTATAAATTCTATATAAGTAGTCTCGATATTTCTATTTCGACAATTAGTGGACATCAATATGAATTGGCTTTTTTAACAACGTATTTTAAACATATTTTAAATTAAAGCTTATATCCCGGCACCTTATCTTCTCTGTGCAAATAGTCGACTTATTTAAAAAACATGCTATTTTTATGTTAAGAATCTCGATTTTATATTTTATATTAATATAATTTTTTGAAAAAAATATAACCTATAATACATACAAATATTGTTAAATTATTTTATTTTAAATATTATTATAAAAGTTAAATTTACTAATACGTATGGAATAAAATATAATTGTTTTCTAGGAGTGATACGCTTGCATATAGAATAATGTGTAACATCAAGGCACTTTTTTATAAAATCGTTATCTTCAAAATTAATTGACTTGCGATAGCCAATCAATCCAGTGGTGTCGAACAAAATCAATTAGGTTTCATGGTTAGAATGCATTTTGATCATTTATGAAAGTTTTGGTTGAATATTTTAGTACACATTTGACATAATTTATTTTTTGTCTTTTTATTTGTTTCGGATAAATACAAATTTTATATTTACTCAACTATTTAATATATATGCATGTATGAATTTGGCGAAGAGTTTTAATGAAACCACCTCGTGACATACATTTTCAGATCCTCGGACGTAAATCGCAAGAAAAAACCTTTTTAAACTTTTATTGTCCTTGCAAATAATAGATATAACAGATACATTTAGCTACACCCCCTCCTAAAAAGTCAAATAAGACATGAGATTCATGTCTGATGGAGATTCAACCCTTCATTATGAATTTTCTTTTATGGAATCAAATTAAATTAAAAATATTGAGATAGGGTTAATTTTTTTACCCACATCTTATCCCCATAAATTATCTATGCTTATGTGCTAACATCTTCCATTTGCAGAGGACTACTTAAAACATGTTATGCACAGTAATAATTTCTTTTAATTTTACTGATAGCGCTGGTTCAAGGGTAGCAATCGCCTACATCCCCCATAAATACGCCCCTGGTATACACAAGAATTATTAATATTCAAACAATTCAAACAATTCAAATAATTTTATTAATATTATATAATGAACAGCATATAGTTTATCAAATATATAGTTATAGTTACAACATTAATAGGCGATAAATAAATAGAAAGATAATCCAACCAGACACGGTCTATTAATAGCAATAATTTTAGTATATTTGTGCGATAAATTCAAACAACTATTTTTAGCAGATAGAACAAATATTTTATAAACGGCGACAAATCATTGATAATTTTCAATTCGATATTTGAGAAATTTAATACTAACAAAAAAAGGAAAAGCGACAAATTCAAATAAAATTTGTTAAGTTAATAAGCAAACTGGCAACGTATGAAATTCATAAGCTTTAAAAATGATTACAATACGCTGTCCCTTTTAATTATATAAACTTATGTAAGCAACGTTGCCAATTTGTTTATGAACTTATTTCTAACCCGCAGGACATGAAATAACGCAACAGAGTAACTATTATTAAAGATAAAATTTCTTCCATCTTACCATTCGGTCACTGAATTACGTTATCTCATGCAATATATTCATTGTACTATACATTTATGACACTTTAATTTTGTTCATCCGAATATTTGAGTGTCCCTCTTACTACTTACCTCGATAAACTTCAGTATTCATTTTTTCAAATATCTGTCCATCGAATTATATATAATCAATGAATTTGTGTCATTTTGTTGTGTAGTTTACAATTTATTGCTCGAATATATTTATGACTATTTTTATCATTAGATGTTTCACGGTTGCACATTTCCATCTGCCTAAATATACAAATACTAATAAATTCCGAAGTACTGGTCTATTAGTTATTATCTACCAGTCGTTTTTTAATTAGACCATTTTCTATAATATAATGTATGTTGCTAACTAAACAAATAAAATTGGTACTCTAATAATGGATAAAGGAAAGGCATAAAAAGTATTTAACATAGCCTAACCACCAGTGCAATAGAATCAAACTCTAACTTATGGACTAAAGAATGACAAATTATCCAATGAGCAAAGTAGAAAGTTTTCACATTTTAAGAAAACTTAAATAATAGCTACAATGCTAATTTTTCATTATTATACTAATTTTTCAATCAATATATTCTATTATTATACGTCCTACCTAAAATCATACTAATGTAGTTAACTTAGTGAGAATTTTTGTTGGTAATAAATAAAAATCTACAAATATAATATTTACATTTAATTAATTTATAAAAATACTTTAAATTATAAAAAAAAATGTTTTTATTATAAATAATAAAAGCACTTATCAAAAATTATTATAACACTAAAGTATGTTCATTATAAACTACAATTGATTATAAATTCATAATGCATAGCAAAATTTAATATAAACATTTTAGTCTAGTTAGTTAATTCATTTTAGCATAAAAATTTAATTTACACAATATAATACAATTAAAAATTATAAATTTCTCAGTTCAGTAATAAGTTATTAATAACATCTATGTATAAATAAAAGAATACCTGTTTTGGGAGTCACTCAACCTGTATACCATACTGCCATCTAGATCAGCTGACTCTTTTGTCGGCATACTGGACATAAAATCTTGACAAAACTGGTACACTAAAAATTATTATTTAATTATTTTGAACTATGAACACTTAATCAATTTTTCATTAATAATAATAAGTTTTTTTGGAATTATAAATATAAATTTATAAAAGTGTTAAAGCCATAACTATTGCAACAATAGTTTTACTTAAAAAAAATCAACTATTAATACATTCCTTATTATTATGTAACTTATATAAGAACATATAATTAATAATTTATTTTTGAGCACATAATTTTTATGCAACATATTTGAGACTCAAATTTCCAAAAATTTAAAAAGCCATGATTAAAATAGTATGACATTTATCAAATGAACATAATTACAAAGACTTGTTGAGTCATTTTCTGCAACTAAATATGTATCTAAACTGCTAGCTAGTTTCCAGCAAGAATCCACATATTCTTGTTCAATTTTTTCCATTAATTCAGTATCAATGTAATCTGCTGATGAACTTTTCTTCCACAAAATAGTAAATTGTTCACATGCATTCCATAACTAATGTATAATCATTAAAATATAAAAATAAATAATAGCTCTTAGAAGGTTTGTAATATTTATGATCACATATGTAAAAATACATGTATATACATAAATGAGACTTAATTTTTTTAAATAATAATTCCTACTTTTTTGTATTAAATTAATAAGTTTTTAAAAAAATATTATAAATAAAAATAAACAATGTCTATTTTTTAATGTAAATATTATACATATTGAATATATTTTAATCTTACTAATGATAATGATTGAAAAGATAATTTTTCCATCAAACCTTCTAACATGCACATTTTAATAGCCAATGAAATGTGTGTTTCTAGAACTATAAAACAAAATAAAATTTAGTTGGTAGATGTTTAAAAAAAAATCCCTTATTACGAAAGTTACCAATACTTTTTAATTATTATTCTCAAAATATTTTTATCTAATATTAATCTTTAATTTCAAGTTATAATATATCATTGAAAACCATAAATATTTTAAGTTCATTAACAATAATAAAGTAAAAATATCGGGTAAGTTTAACTTTTAAAAAAATAATTGTCTACTTATCAAAATATAAATATTATTGGTTTATGCAAATTTTTATAATATATAAGTTTAACAAATGAAAGATCTAAATGTTGAGATACTATAAATAACATAGAACTTACCCATTTCAAAACCTTCTAAACCATTCTTAACTTTTTCAAAATTATCAAATAATTTTGATCCCAAATATTTAGAAGCAACACTAAAGAAATAAGTTTGCAATTTATAAGTAGTAGATAGAATCCATAATCTTATAAAATACAAACGTCTAACATCCAATGAATAATTATATTTTTTTAAGTCTAAAAAATATTTTTTCATTAACTATTATGAGTTTTTGCATTATAATTTAATTAAATACAAATATATGAATAAAAAATTACCTTTAGTTTGTAATTGAGAAATCATTTCTACTGCTTGTTTCACTGTGATAAGCAAACGAAATATTTTGTTGTAACTATTTATAACACCATTAGTTAAAATCAAACTTAGAGGAAACTTAACCTTAATTTATAAATTAACAAATTTAAATTTAGTTTCGTTATACTTTGTAAATATTTAAACATCAACATACATCATAAGTAATGGTAAGGCGTTCTAATTCATCAGCGAAATTGTCACTTGTTATAATACCTTCTCTAAACAAACTATGTTTTTCATTTTTATAATTTAACGATAAGTTGCAAGAATGGTCACTTATAGATAACATTGAGCTGTGATCTTCACTAATTAGTGAATAAAAACAATTGTTTAAAAATAAATTTTGTTCAATCTAAAAATAAATTTTTGCACAATTATATCATAATTTATTAATAACCTAGGAAAAAATTATAATTCAAAGGATTCTATATAAAATAATTAATTATTTTTATCATCAAATATTTATTTTACAATATCAAAGGATTGTCAATCTGTCTAAAGTCATTTTATTTTTAACTGTATGATAAATAATAAAAAAAATATGAGTAAAGTAATGGTAACAATTAACTCAAGTTAAATATGAATACCAATAAGTAATAAAATTAAAAAATTTAACTAGTTTATTTAAAGCCAAAAAATAATTAATTTTCATTATTTTTAACTTTTTAAGTTTGAGTATCGTCAAAGATTGATATTTATTATTCTAATTTCCTATTTTATAACATTAGTAAAACTATAGGAGCTAAAATTATTCCTGCCTTCTACCAGAGAAATCCAAGGAATTATATTTAGTTATAAAAATATATTATTTAGAGTAAATTTTTTATCATTATCTAAAGAGTACATATAAGAACACACATAACATCTTAATTTAACTATTTGAGAATCAGAGAACAGGTGAGCAGCATTGGCAAAATTTATTTTTATGACATAATAGTAACATAATTATATGATAATTAATATATTATATCAATATTATGTATATTTTATGCCAATCTATGTTAATATAATAGTTTTTAATCAAGAAAAAAAATTATAGATTGTAGTATTTATTGAATTATTTTCATTTATAACCATAAATGAGTCAAAAAATTCTATCACATTATTAATTTTAACTTGATGGTTATAATTGAGTGAAAAAAATTAAGATATTTAAATAACAAATTAAAATAGTTAAGTTATAAAATTAATTTAAGAAATAATAATTAAATAAGCTTAAACATTAAATAATAAACCTTTGAATTAAAGTAATTTAAAGGTTAAACTTTTTTTAAATCTTTCTTTTGATTTTTGAGTAACACCATATAGGATTATTATATGACACATTTAATTTCTGAGGTAATAGTCATACATTACTTAAGGTTGTTACTTAAAATCATTAAAACAATGATTTTTACAAATAAAATAGATATTAATTTATTCTATAAAAAATTGAGATAAAAGTTGATATTTTCAGTTTTAAAAAGATACAATTAGTTTAAGTAAAAATTTCATGAAAAATATAATAATAAAAGTGACGTACTAACTTATATTAGATCACTCACAAGGCAACAATTGATGAATTATAAAAAGTTTTGTTACCAAATATTTTAATTTTTTATAATTTATATATTGTAATATTTTATTAAAAACCAATATTTTTTTAAATTTTTGTAATAGATAGTACTCTTATATAAAAACATATTCCAAAATCAAAATTATTTTAGAATATAAAATAATATTTAAGTGTTAACTTAATTAATTTACTTTATATTCCAAAGTTCTATCAATTGTGACAGTTTTTGTTACTTCTTCCAAGAAAATAATGTTGTATAGTGTTTTTAAATGATTGATACATTTATTTTTTTTAAGTATAATATTCCTTACTACTATACCAATACTGTCCAAAGCTTTTTGTACAATGAACACAAGAATATCAACTATTTCAAAACTTGATGGTTTTGTTAAATTTGATGTACAGTTACTGGAAAATCTATTTAATCAGATACAAACTTTATTAAAATTTATAATATTTTTTTCACTATGTCTTAGTAAATTTAATTAAACATAAGCATTAAAAATATATCATGTCACGGGTATTAGGTGTAAGCTATTATGATAGAATATGTTAATAGTGAATTTCAATTTTAGTCTAAACAAAATGATTATTTATAACTATTGATATATATTTTAGCAGTTGATCAATCAAAATTTTCATATTTTAACATACAAATAAAATTTTTTTTTATTAAAACTTCTTCAATACTTAAATTTACCAAAAAGCTATATTCAACAAATCAATTAATGTTTAGGGTAATAAATTTAATTAATTTTTAAAAATTTTTTTAATTAATTCTTAAATTTACTGCATATTCACATAAGATTTTCAATCTAAATTTCCACAAAATAAAAAAAAAATTGAATATATATACCTATAGTCAATACAATATGTTGCAAGCATTGGTATTTGACTCCAGTTTAATGGGTTATATGGTTTAAATATAGTTATATAATCATCCCAATCATTTAATATATTTTTCAATTCTGTTATAAAGTTATGAAACAATTCTCCTAAATATAGAATTATATAATAATACAAGTCTCTCAATCAAAAATTAAAGTAAATATTTTAAACATACCTCGGGGGACTTCAGTAAATGTCTCAACATTGTTACTTAATTCTGAAGCTACAAAAACTTTCCAATCACAACTTTTTAAAAAATTCAATAAAACATTAAAAATTGGAGGTGTAACAATACCACAATTAACAAGATAATCATTTACATCTCTCAAGTATAAATTAAATTCAGTGCAACTGTCACCCTCATAATTTAAAATTAAAAACTCATTATGTTCATCAACAAGCTGACCAGCATGAATCCACAGTTCAGTCATATGCATGTATGGTTCCAATGTATACAAAAATAAAGTCATTACAGCAATTTTTTCAAAATCTATGAAAGACGTTTGAATAGACCAAAATAAAACCGATATTATCCTTAAAACAGATTAATGGTATTTGTAAATATTTTATTTGTAAAATATTTAATTTTTTTTTAAAATAGTGACTCATTAGAATCATGGGCGATAAAAATGAATTAATTCGTTAATTTTACACTATTGAAGAAAAAAAATTTTAAGCATTTAACTAATTGAACGATCTTGAAGCCTTATGTTTATGAGGATCTTTCTTAGACTTTTCTGATTTAATATATCATTCAAAATATTTTTGAACAATAAAATTCACCTTTCCAAAAAAAAATTAAATCCAAAAACTTTTTACATAGCATGTTATTTCTACCCAGGATTTAATTATTAACAATATAAAAAATAATTTATACCTAGTTGAAATTTTCCAATTATCAATTTCTTTCCAATTTAAACCTAATGCTTCTGTGTGTAAAATGTAGACAAACAAAATAACTTGAAAATGCAAATGCATTTCTTCTTCAAACGATATAAGAGTATAATTAATATAGGCTAAAACATAAATGTTATTAATATATATTGAATAAAAAAGTTATTATTTTAAAATTAATTCATAATATTCATACTCGAATTTTTGATATTGTTTTCAATAAAACTAATTTTTTCAACAATGGGTGTTAAAATTTTTTCAAGGCCATTTGAATAAGCTCTTAGTGTATTTGAAACTTTAGCTGAACATTTTATAAAATGTGTAAAATTAATAAGCTCACTTAGTTTATTAATATATGGAAAAATAGTAGATAGCCAACAATCAAATACTTCCTAGAAAATAAATTTAATTTCAAGAAGCAATAGGAAAAACATATTTTTTTTATATTTTACTAAATACAATATTAATTAAATAAATTTTTAATTAAAGTAATTATAAGCTTACTGGTGAAACTGTTGATAATATATTCACATATCCAAAATTTTGATTTTGTTCTGCCAAATTATATTGAAAAATATTAGATGGAACTAAATGGTGGTTCAAGCAATCAAGTATGACTTTGCTATCACAAATTATTTTAAATGTCATATTAGGAGAAAAACTAAAATTTAATAAATAAATAAATATATCAATCCTAAACCTTATTTTAAAAAATATAAACATGTACCGTTTAATAGCAAAGTGTGAAGTATATTTACCACCTTGTACTAAGATTCCTGAATTACTTTTTGACCACACAGATTCAGATGCAATGTTTCTTAATATTTTAACTGCCTTATTTTCATTTATATACAATAACTTTAAATATTCATTTCTATTATCTTCTAATAATTTATTTTTATTAATACTCAAATTATCTATAAATGATATACTACGAGATAAATCTACACTTGGAGACAAAAAATCATTTTCGTCTTCATAATCAGATTCTTCTGATTCAACATAATCCTATTTTAGAAAATTAGTATTAAAAAAATAATTTTTTTTTACTATATTTTACATACTTTATTATTATTAAGACTAATTAATTCTTTAATAATATTAGATTTAAATGTTTCTCCTAGAATTGCTGATTCACCTTCAAGTTGAATCCGTACACTATCTAAATTAGTATTACGTAATGCATTTCTAAATCCACAAGGATTTTTCGCCATTTGAATAATTAAACTAATTATGGCCCATTTGACAGAACAAGTTGATTCCTAAAGTAAATTTAATTTAATAATATTCAATTTTTTTAACTAAAAAGTTGAGAATAGTAAGAATAACAATAAGCAAAATTAGGCAACAAAACAAACTAATTTGATTAATTGGCAATATTTTGTTTTGATACAACATATAATATTGGAATTTTAGATTACGTTTGAGTAGTTATTAATATCTGAATGGTCAATAAACCAAAAAATACGCATTTGAAATTCTTTAGCTTCTAAAGGAAATCCATGGGTGATATATTTTTCTATAATACCATTTATCAATACATCAATATCTTTTTTTTTAGGATATTCATAATGATTATCATGCAGAGTATTAAGTATATTAATATACATCTTGTAAACATCTTGAAAATCCTAAAATAATATCACATTATTAGTTGCTACACACCTGTTTTTATTTTATAATGAAGATGTTGCATTAGTCAATTAAAATATCTATGAATTATAATAGATTGTATAGTACTATATAAAAAAAATTGTGTTTAAAATTAAACCACTTTGTTCTATCTTCAATAAATAATATATACCTAACTAATTTTACCTCTAATCCAGTCATCATTTTTATAAGTTCAAAAATGTTTGCTAATGATTTAGAAGATAAACTAATAATTGACGAATGATTAGTTTCCATTTTAACAGAAAGTATTTTTAAAAAGGCAGAAAGAATTAATACTATAGTTATTGGATCATATTTTCCAATTATTTTTAATTTAACTTCAAATCAAATTGTTATAATGAAATAAAAAAATATCTCTGAAACATTTATTAAAATTATTATTATTACTTATAATTAAAATATTATTTTTAACAGAAAACACAATAAGAATAATAGTAATAAATCTTGATAAATACAGTATAATAAAATACTCTGTAATTAGAACCTAGTTTTGGCGGTAAAGTACATGATAATATTACAGATAATAATAATAATGATAAAAAACCAACTGTTGTTACTAGTTTCATTCTGTTTATTACTCAAGATTTTACAGTAAATTTCGTTTAATTTCTGTTTAATATATTTTAAGTTTAATTAATTAATTAAATTTAAACATTTAAATGTAATTTAAATTTGTTAAAAAAATAATTAGCATTAATAAATAATACTGAAAGAAAATTTACAATTAATTCACTGACAACTTCATTCTGTACACTGTATATTTGAAATGTAGAGGACCTTTAATTTCATTATATCAAAGTAGACTAAAGAAAATTAAATTTTAATGTTAGTGTTTATTCAATTAATCAAATGTTAACTCTTAAATAATTTTTGTTATTTAATAACAAGTTATTTCCATATAGATAATTCGGATTGCATAAACTAGTAATTTTAATTGTAGTTTATTCAGGTGGAAATTTTAATTCAGTTTTAGATTAAATTGATGTTACATTTGAAAATTAATGTTCTTTCAAATAAGTATACAACATTTTTATTATTGAGGTAGATATATAATATTTATTAACAATATTGAATAATATTACTAAACATAAGCTTAGGTGAATTAAATACTTAAAATGAAAATAAAATCAAAATAATTATTTTTTCTTTTTTTTTATATATATAATCATAGATGCTAAAAATAAAAAGTATATGACTTAAAATTAATAACCCAATAATATATTTTTATACCCAAAAATATAGATATTTTTTAATATGTAGAAATCCTATTATTATTTCTGGGTTTGTTAAGTATTGGATCATCCTATTGTTTTTACTCCTATTGCTATAATATAAGTATAAAAGTTTTATTAAATTATAATCCATCTTTATATTGCAATTGTAATACTTTTTAATACATGAAGAAAAATGTATGATATATCAAGCGTATTATGATTAATTTGAATTATTATTTCTAAAAATAAGTATGCTAAGAGATTAATTAGTTTAATTAGAATTGATTTAGTTGAGAATTAATTTTATTTAAAATTTTTCAATAGTTAAATTGTATTATACCTAATTATGATTGACTGTATAACAATTGGTTCTCTGAAGTTAAAAAAAATGGTAACTATATATACTAAATAACCTCCCTCAAATACATTCTATTAACCAATTATTTATTTTATACTTTTTTGTGATAACATATTTGTGTTTCAGAAAACATTTTGGAGACTTGATAACATAAAAATATTTCTTAAGAAATATAATTGCTTAATCATTTGAACGGTGTAAACATTATAAATATGATACTTATATCGTTTTAAAATCAATGCCTATCATGGTAAGTATAAAAAACTGTTATTTTATTTTATTAAACAAATTTTGATATACTGTTGAAATTAATTATCAAAAAATATAAATAATGTTAATGCTTAATTATTAAAAAAATACTGCTATTCATCTGGAAACTCCTAAACAAATATTAGTAGAGTAGGATAGAGTTATAAAATAATTAACTTCTGATTAAAATATATGATGAGAAGTTGAATAATTTAATTCTAGAAATAGCAACTATAATTATGAATAAGGTTATTTTTGCTCATTAAATTAAAGTGGGATACTAATTCTTGAATTTTAATGAGTATTTAATGAAAAAAAAAAAATCATTAAAACCATTTTTAATTATAAACACCAATCTAAAAAATAATTTTGTTATGCTACTATAATTGAAAAAAATGTATCCTTGATATTTATGATCAAATTTATTTAAGCCTTAAATTGAACTAAAATTTTTTTTGTAAAAGTTAATTTTGCAGTGGTATTTTTTTTACCTGCATTGGTGAATCTTAATATCTTTTAAATTATCATAGTTTATTATTAATATTAAAACTTATATTTCCATAACTAAATATTCATATTAAATACCTGTTTCATTTTTTATTACAATAAAATTAAAAATGTTAACTGTATAACACTGATTCATATTATTGTTGAATTTATTTTTAATTAAAATATAATTTTTTTAATTTACTAGCGTCGAAGTTTAGCGCCTAGCCAAGCAAGTAAACGACCTTTAAGTGATTCAAATCAAGCAACAAAATGTATGAAATATATGACATCTCCAAAACAAGAAGTAACATCAAATAATGATGATAAATGTTCTCTAAATATTTCTGATTATGTGAGTTGATTACACAAATAAAATAAATATCAAAACTATCTATTTTAATTTAGTTTGATTATTATAGTTTTGGGGAATATATTTTTCTTTGATTAGTAATTTAAAATTTGATGAAACAAACCAGGTTTTTTTCCAACCCTGATTTATTTATTTACATTGCTTAATAATTTGTAGTATAAAAACCAAAGGGTGCAATTACATTTAGTTAAAACTAAAAAATAATTTTTTTGCTTCACTGTTAGTGTAATTAATACAAATGCATAAAAAATTGCTTGACTAAATAACAAATTAAAAAAAATAAGAATAGTAATTATTGTTTGTACTTATTCAAGATACTTTCATAATTAATAATTTTTAAGACTTTGTATGTGATCATCAATTTCTAAATTTAACCAATTCAAGTAAAATTAATGTTTTTTACTAAAATATCAACTAAATTATTAGGAACAAAAAATTAGAAGTATATTGGCTAAGCCATTTAAAGTTCCAATAGCAAATTGGTCTGGCAATAGCTTCAATAGAGCTTTAGGTGTTCGACGTGATGGTGTTAGACGACCTTTACATGATCCTAGTATACCTGATGCATTAATTTTATATACTCCTCCACAAATTAGTGCAAATGAACTTTTAAAAATTGATAAGTAAGTTGTTCATCAACATAGTTAATAATTAAAATGTTTTAATTCAATTCTATTTTTAGAGATAAAATTAAAGTCCATGTTGTCGTTGATCCAACTTTGTCGAAAATATTGAGACCTCATCAAAGAGAAGTTAATAAATATTATGTTTTTATTTAAATTTAAATTTTTAAGTTATCATATTTATTTTTATAATGAATAAGAAATAATGTACAAATCAAATCATTATATGTTAATGATTTTATATTTAAATTGATTAAACATACAAACAGATTGAAGAACTCATACAACTAATAGAATGCAACTCAAGCATATTTATCATAGGTGATTTTAACGCCTCAATAGGCTATGAAAAAAGTACCTTCTCAGAAAAATATGGACTAGGGAAAACAAACAAAAGAGGGACAAGATTGATAGTTTTGTGAACAATAGGAACTGATGTAACAAATACATTGAAGATATCAAAAATTTAAGACCCAGTGAGATACTTAACTTTGCCAGAAGATAGAACTCTTTGGTTACCACAGGGGGTTACTTGAGATAGTCCACTCTTTATATAATTATAAGTATAATGTAATAAAACTTTGGTGTTTAAACCGAATGAAGATAATTCGGTATAAGGTGTGTACAATGGAACAATAGGTCTGAGTAAATGGGCATTATGTCCACCTCACTAATAACTAAAACTAAACAAATACATACTTTGAAGTTCCGTTATGAAGAAAATACACATGAAAAGCACCTAGAGATAAAAGTCAGTATCAAATAGATTTTATATTCATAAAAACTAAGTTCAGAAATCAAAACAAATCTAGCTACACCCACCCAGGATATGTGATGGTACAATACAACATCAAATTAAAGAAAAGAACCAAAGTAACAAATTAAAAGAAATATTGCATTGTAAAACTAAAAGACTAAAATATAATCANAAGAACCAAAGTAACAAATTAAAAGAAATATTGCATTGTAAAACTAAAAGACTAAAATATAATCAAAGAATTCTAAAAGAATTTAAATGAGCAATTTAAATGCTACTAGAGTAGCAGATTGAATAATTTGTAAAAATAAAATAGAACCGAGAACTTCATGGATGACTGGAAAAATTCTTAAATTAATAGAAAGAAAGAACAAATTAAGGAACAGAGATTACAATTTACATGAATCGGTAAAAAACTGAAGGAACAATAAAATGCTGTCTAGCAAAAGAATGTTGGCTAAATCAAAACATACAAGAAATAGGGTGTAATATACTAAGTAACAATATAGACAAAGTCTATAATAAAATTAAAAATCCAGCAACATAGTTATAGATAAACATGGACAAATTCTATTTGAAAATGAAAAGGTAGTAGAGAGGTTGAAAATGTATATGGAAGAATTATACGAGGGAATAGTGATCAAAAATAAAATATTTTTAGAATATTAAATATTAAAAAATGTTAATTTCTTTTTATCTTATAAGTGAAAAATATAATTAAAGTAATGTTTTTTTTTTTTTGATAAATAAAACACTTAAATAACTTTATGCATTTTATTGTATAATTAATTAAATGCCAAATATTAATTTAAAAAAAATTTCTTTTATAGGAAAAGTAAAATATTATTTTGACATTTATTTTTTCTATGAATCAACATAGTTATTAATTTATTTTTTTTATTTGCTTAATTTATTAATTGCTATAAAAGCTATTTACAAACTTAATATTAACTGAAATTTCATCATTTAAATTTAGGGAGTGAAGTTTATGTATGAATGTGTAACGGGTGTACGAATAGAAGGTGCTTATGGATGTATAATGGCAGATGAAATGGGTTTAGGTAAAACTCTTCAGTGCATTACTTTAATGTGGACATTATTAAAACAAGGACCTGATGCATCACCTACTATTTTTAAAGCTATTATTGTAACTCCAAGTTCTTTAGTCAAGGTATAACTACACTAACTATACACAGAAACTTGGAAATTTTTATTTTTAATTAATCACTCAATCTCCATTAATTAAAACTTTAATGTATTCACTTAATATTTTTTATAACAAGTATAAATACTTATTATTATTATTTTTTTAACGCTTTATAAGCCCGTAGCGGCCTCCCTCATAGGAGGAGTTTTCTAAACCATTGATATTCCGAGATGTGTGGTTAGTCCAAAGCCAGAGAGAGGGATAGTGACTCCAATTAACGAACTGATCTCTCGTTCAGCAAATGAAGCCATCTGTGACTGAGTTTTGAACCCGAGACAGTGCTCGTCAAGCACTGCCTCATTACCAACTTGGCCACATCGTCCCTCTAAATACTTGTATCCATAGAACAATTATAAACCAGTTAATTGTACTTATATTTCAATGTTTGAATTTTATGTTATAACTTAAACTCTAATTATCATGAATATGTTAAAGCTTTTGTAGATTGCATGTTTTGAATGTATTATGTCTTCTAACAGATTGTTTTGTTCAACGTTAATCAATATAAAAAAAATATTTTCAGAATTGGTGTAATGAAATAAAAAAATGGCTTGGAGGTCGTATTGGAGCTCTGCCTGTTGATGGAGGTGGAAAAGAACAAGTTGACAAAGTTATCACTGGATTTGTTCAAGCTAAAGGACGTCGAACAATTGATCCAATTTTAGTTATATCTTATGAAACTTTCCGTAGTCATGCAAACATGCTGCAAAATGCTGATGATATTGGACTTGTATTATGTGACGAAGTAGGTAAACAAGTACTAATTAATTTCATATAAACTTGCCAATGTCATTTATACATAACTCTATTAGGGACATAGATTAAAAAATTGTGAAAATCAAACTTACCGAGCACTGATGTCATTAAAGGCAAAAAGGCGTGTTTTATTATCAGGAACTCCTATTCAAAATGATTTGCTTGAATATTTTAGTTTAGTACATTTTGTAAATGAAGGGATATTAGGAACAGCTCAAGAATTTCGGCGACAATATGAAACACCAATTGTCCGTGGGCAAGATTCTTGTGCTACAGACTCTGAACGTCAGAAAGCAACAGAAAGATTAGAACAATTAATTGCTTTAGTTAATAGATGTCTTATAAGGAGAACTTCAGCTTTACTTTCAAAATATTTGCCTGTTAAAACTGAGCATGTAGTGTGCATAAAACTAACACCTTTACAAAATCATTTATACCAACATCTGCTTAAATCTGACATGGTTACAAAATCCATAAAAAGTAAGCATCAAATTAAACTATTTCTTAAGCAAAATCTTCAAAAAATTTAAATAGTACCCCATACGCTTCAATATTTATAAATACACTAATTTTATCATAAAGAAACATCAATTTAAGTCCATTTTAGGTACTAACAAAGCTATATCTTTGGTCTAAAGACACAAATTAAAAAAAGAAAACTTTTTCTATTATTTTAATAGTTTTATTAAAAATATGATAGATTTGAAATATTTTATAATTATATATTAAATTATTTAAATAGTTGAAAGAAACCGAGAATCATATGCTCCTATTCAAAAAAAGCATGCCACATAGGTGCAAATTTATGAAAAAAATTGTGAGGTTAAATTTAGTAGTCTTTACCTTACATTTTTTTTATATAAAAATATATTTTATCTCTTTAATTCTATCTCAACTATTTGAGGTTGAATCTACCTAACTATGATTTGACAGGATTTGTGTACTTTCTGTCAATCTGATGCAACATTATTATAGCTGAGAAAGCCATATATGGGGTGTTCAGTACTTAAGGAAATGGGTTTCTATTGTTTTCATTGTTTATAACAATTGACCTGTCTCCTTACTTACTGAACACTGTTTATAAAAAATACATAGAATTAAAAACAAATTTTAACTAATAGGTAATGATGGAAAAGTAACTAGTAATGCATTGGCAGCAATCACTTTATTAAAAAAGTTGTGTGCTCATCCAGACCTTATTTTTGATAAGGTCATGAAAGGAACTGATGGTTTTGAAAATGCTAAAGAGTTATTACCTGTGTCATACATTGCTGCTCAAACAAAGTAATAAATGTATTAATTATTAAAAAATGAAATAAATTAGATTTATATGACTAGTTAAATATCTCAAGCATAACCATACAGAACAGTATTTTTTTTCTTGTTAAATTTTACATACAGCTAATATAAATACCATATTTAAAAACATTGTATGGGGTCTATCAGAAATTTGTTTGGTTTAATCCTTATGGCAATATTTAGATTGTTATACAGTATATTTTGTAGCTATTTGATATGAGTTTAGATAATTAATTTCATATAAGATAACCTTAATTTCTATTAGACAGAAAATACTATCAGATAGAAACTCTTTTTAGGGATTTTATACTCATTTAAATAATTTAAAAAAAAACCCAGTACAGTGAAGACGTAGCATAGTTGAGTCAAATATAATAGTATCTGACAGTGATTAAAATCACTGTTATAAAAAACGCTTCGATGCAAATCTGTAGATAGTGTTTAATTTTAAAAACTAGTGGATTATTCCAAAAACTACATGATCTCCTATTTCCTTATTTATATCCTGATTACAAGTTTTATGATTTATAAGTGTAACATAAATATATATACAGGGTGATTTTTTTATCATAACCCACTCAATTACTTACAGAATAATAATAATATAAATTTTTTTTATTATTACTATCTTTAGTTACACATTATTCTTGAATTATTAACTATGTAATACTTTTTAAGTTCATCCCTTATGCCTTGGAAGGGGGTCAACTTTGTTTTTTTAAATGGTAACACATATTTTTAATTTAATAAAATGTTCGAGTTTTTAATTCAATAATAAATGGCATTTGAATTTTTAATAAAACTTAATTTGTTTATTAGATATAAACATTTAAAGTTTCAAATTTTTGAGTTAATATATAGGTATAATACACAAGGGATTACAAATACAGGTAGATAATTGGTTTTTTATGACATCTATATTAGCAGGTACACAGCATTGTTATTATCAATGATAGTAAGGTACATTGTTGTGAGTTTATAAATACACTAACTGACAATACAAAAAGTATATCTATTGATAGTCATAATTGATAATAAACAATCCGTGACTGTGATAGCAATATCATAAAAAACCAATTAGCTACCTGTATTTGTAATCCCTTGTGTATTATACCTATATATTAACTCAAAAATTTGAAACTTTAAATGATTATATCTAATAAACAAATTAAGTTTTATTAAAAATTCAAATGCCATTTATTATTGAATTAAAAACTCGAACATTTTATTAAATTAAAAATATGTGTTACCATTTAAAAAAACAAAGTTGACACCCTTACCAGGCATAAGGGATGAACTGAAAAAGTATTACATAATTAATAATTCAAGAATAATGTGTAACTAAAGATATTAATAAAAAAAATTTTTTAAATTATTATTATTCTGTAAGTAATTGAGTGGGTTATGATAAAAAAAATCACCCTGTATATTAATTATATTTATAGCATATAAATATATAAAGGGAAATGATTTTATTTAAAAAAAGGTATGTCGCATAAAAGAAGAATATAAATATTACTTATCTTAAAAAAATTATAATGATCCATACATTTTTCAAAAAGTTATAGCGTTATAAAGTTAAATATATAAAAAAGAATTTTTTTACAAAAATCATATTTTTTTTTATTAAATTTGATATCTGTTTTCAACATGAAGATAAAATAAAGTCCGAAAATTTTTTTTTTCCATGATAAAGTATAGTAGATTAGCTTTAATTTAAGATATATATAAAAGTATCAGACTTTCCGGAACATTTTCAAAAGTTAAGTTGAAATAGTCCTACTTTCTATCTGCATTTTTATAGCTTTTTTAGCTAGAAGTCAAGAGGGGCCTACCACTCATTCCCTCCTACATTTATTCGTGTATATATGGGTAATTCTATTAATAATCAATAAGATTTTTAACTTTAGGTTAAATAATTTTAATTTTAATAAAATTATAAATTTTTTGAAATTAATTTATTCAATACTTAAGATATCTAGTGACATAAATAACAAAACCCGCACTTCACCTCTAGCCATAACATTAAATTATTAAAAACTTCTGAAATACTTGTCCAAAAGTTGTTATAGACCAGTAATTTGCTTAATTAGATCATTAACTAATAAATAAGCTAATTAATATGTACATTCCAGTATAAATAAATGAAATTACTACACTTATACATGAGGGATGAACATCAAAATTATTTTATGACTGATAAATTAAAAAAACATGTAACTAATAAAAATCAAGAAAAAAAAAATTACATTATAGTTTTTTTTTCAATTAATTTAATAGTTTACAATAACAAAATCACTCCGTATACTTGCAATAAATTTGAGAAAACTTGTCTTTTTTAAAATAGCTTAAGAAAGATCTATAAACACATTTAAATCCATTTACCAAATAATAAATTGTAGTATATTGTATTCTATTGTATTTCATTTCTTCTAATGTTTGATTTACTTGTATTAACCCTGAAACAAAAAAATTCATTTTATCATTAATAGCCTAAATAAATTTTCAAACATTTTTCTTTGTTATATAAATTCCGAGGTTTGATAGTCATTAGTTATTTAGGTACTTATAATTATTTATTTTAAAATTAAAAAAAAATTACCAATATATTATAAATTTAAGTTTGTTATCTTAGTCGTTTACCCAATTCACAGCTGTTAATTTATAATTATTATTATTCATTAATCTTTTATTTTAGAAATAGACTGATGATTGAATTATCATCTAAATTAATGGTTCTAGACACTATGCTAGCTGTTATAAAATCAACTACAACTGATCGAGTAGTATTAATTTCTAACTATACTCAAACATTAGAATTATTTGAAAGACTAGCCAAGTTTCGCAACTACACATATGTAAGACTAGATGGATCAATGACTGCTAAAAAAAGAGCTAAAGTATGTTTTTCTAATAATTTTTGCATTTAATTTCATTCAATTATTGTATCATTTAAAACAATAAGGAAAATTATCTTATATTATAGAACTAACTTAAAATATATGAGAAATAATCATTCTTTTATAGTTATTTGATCTTTTTAATTTTGTAAAGTTCAATGTACTACTAGTTAGTATATTAAATATACTAACTAGTAGTACATTGAAAAAAAATTTTTTAATAAATTTTATCTCTCCACTTTTTTTTTTTGAAATTTACTTTTTGTATTCTCTAATAGAGAATCCCTTTTTTGACAATTTTGTATAATCAATGGGCAAATCCTTTCACTATAAAAACTAATAAAATAAAAATAGGGATATGTAATATATAGTATATATAATAGAATTTTTATTATCTTCTGGACTATTTCAAAAAATGGAGATAGCCATGGCTGCAATAACTACAGTTATTGCACTGGCCTCTTCAATTGTAGACCTAAAATGTCAATTTTCTACTATTCTTATTATACTTAAAAATTATTTTAAACTATATTGTACTAAAATTAATATTTATATTTATTGTCTTTTAGGCTGTTGATGATATTAATAGTCCAACAAGTGGTACATTTTTATTTATGTTGAGTTCCAAAGCTGGAGGTTGTGGTTTGAATTTGATTGGGGCTAACCGCTTAGTAATGTTTGATCCTGATTGGAATCCAGCTAATGATGATCAAGCTATGGCTAGAGTGTGGAGAGATGGTCAGAAGAAACCATGTTTTGTTTATCGGTTTTTAGCTGTAATTTTTAAAAAAGTATAAAATATATCAAATATTCTAATTTTTACGGAATTTTAGACTGGTACTATAGAAGAAAAGATGATGCAGAGACAAGCCCATAAAAAAGCATTAAGTTCAAGTGTTGTTGACTGTGAAGAGGATGTTGCTAGACATTTTTCAGCATCAGAATTGCGTGCTTTATTCTTTCTTCATCAAAATACTATTAGTGATACTCATGACAAGTAAAAAAAATTTTATTTTTGATATTATTATTTGATGTTGTGAAGAATATTTTTTGTTTTCTAACTGAAATATAATTGGCCACACTTATATTATCTTGTAATCATGCTTATAATACCTGTGTATATCCTCCATTATCCACTGCTAATATAGTATTAGTTTATATTTAAAACACTTTATGTAATAAAATATCTCTATTATTTCTATATATAATTGTGTATTATAACCCTATTTAAATTGTTAGCTATACGAAAGAAGTTTTTTCTTTTCTAAATAATTTCAAAAAAAATGTGTTGCAGGGTTTTTCCATGGAGACAACAAAATTTATTTTTAATAACTGTTTAACTGAATTATAGAAAATAAAGCAAAAATGTTTTTCCTGTAATATTAACCTCAAAAATTTACACCTTTCACTTTATGATCATTTAAATCTATTTTTTATTTTTAAAGAATAAAATGTACACGATGTGTTAATAATATTCAAACAAAAGGACCTCCAGTAGATAGTGATTGTACCAATGATTTGTCTTGTTGGAACCATTGCGCTGACAAAAGATGGTTAGTTGATCCAGTTTTAAAACAGTGCTGGAGTGCAGGAATCAGTATGGTATTTTATCATCATTCTACTGTTCATAAAGAGGTAATTTTTTTCCATTAAATGCTTTTTATCTGACCAAAATAAAAAATTTTATACAGAAAAAATTTAAATCAAAATAAATCTTCTGTATAAAGGATTAAAATTTATGTATTAGCAAAAATTTTAATAATAAATTGGGATTATATTTCAAATATGTATTTTATTTAAAATAAAATAAGTCACAAATAATTTATAAATCTTATTAATGAAATTTGCAATATCATAATAGTTATTATTATGTACAAAGTAAGTCGCATAGTTTTGACAAATTCAATAATAATTATGCTGTATTTTTTTTTTTTTTTTTTTATTACATTTTAAACAAACTTTTTAATATTTATCTTTAAAAAAAAAAAAAAATTAAATTAAAATTTTTACAAATTCAATAGAGCTTTTTTTTATAAAAAAAAGTTTATGGATCAATAACAAGTTAAGGATTAGTACCTATTAAGTTACAACCATTTTAATATATAGAGCAGGTAGTGAAAAGGTTGTCCACATTATGTAATGAATGCATTTATCTCAATAAATTTTTAACCTAAAATTTTCATCAACCCTTCAAAAAAGTTGGCAAGAAATGGACTCAAAAAATAGCTTTAAAAAAAAAAAAAAAAAAGTTACAGTAAAATGGTCATTAGATTATAAGTTATTGGATTTATCATATCTTTGTGACTCACTTTCTATAGTCTATAAAATAATAATAACTGAATAAAAAACATAAATGATACCTTTAATATTTGTAATTACTTGAACTTAATTAGTTTTATTAGAATAATAAACTACAGCACCTTAAAATTCAAAAGGTTCTAATAATTACAATAAATCATAGGAAAATAAATGTATTCCTACTCAAAAAAATCGCCCACAAGCTAATAATATAAAAACATCATCATACATTACAATATACATACACCTTACATTTTTCAATATATTGTTTAACAATTCTAATTCATAAACAATGAGATATTATTAATTAATGTAATTAATATATATTAACACATATGTTAATAAGTGTTCGTAAAAATAATATTAAAGAAATTTTAAAATACCATCAGCAATAAAATATACCCCTAAAATAATAACCTTAAAACTTTTTAATAAATTCATTATTTTGGCACATTCTTAAATTACATTTTTGTCTAACTAAAATTTAGTTTTAGATGTATTTATTTAATCTATATGTCTACTTCCCTTTAAATTTCGATGTTTACTGTACAAATTTTCATTTGTATTATTAATTTATTTTATTTTAGAAATCTATAATAAAAGAAGAAACTTTAGAACCTGATACTGTCATTGAAGAAAAAGATAATGCTGAATAAGTGAAACAGTCATATATGTGACACATGTATATGAAACATATTATATATAGTTTAACTTTAAATCAAAATAAAATATGTATCTGTCTAAAATAATTTTGTTACATTACAGTTGTATACTTATATTTTATTCATTATAATTAATATTTGAGTGAATTAATAAATACTTGATGGTCTATCAGATTTTGATTTTGAACTATGAGCATGTAATGTCTATAATTATTTTAGTTTATTAATCAAAGCTTAAATTTCTTCAATTGAAATCTTTGGTTTGTTAAAAAAATTATCTTCATTTAATTTAAGGTTATAACTGAAATCCTAGAGAAAAATTGAAATGTTGTAGTAATAATTAGAAATTTAATGTTAAACATTTTAGAAATAGATTTATGAACAAATTTTGTTGGTAACTACGTAATTAAAATAGGACTACTAGAATGATTTTATCTAAGAGCCAAAAAAAGCTAACTATATACTTTTTTTCGAAAGAAATTAATAAATATTTAAGCTGCTTACCTAGATTTTTATGCAATTTTGAAGTGTAATGACACATTCACGTGAGACTAAAATAGCTTATCCCAACTTTAACAAAAAGATTCCTAATGATGCAAGTATACAAATCTGGTCATAAAAGCTACAATATTTTAGGACCTTAATAAGGTCGTATTCTATTTATTCTTCTACGACACTGACTGAACTACATTTTAGTTAATATTATCAAAATAAGATAACTAACAAATTAGTCACTAGTTGAATTACGAATTATAATTATGTCAAAATATGACTTTTAATTTTTTAATTAAAAAATATAAACATTTATTTTTACTTTTATTCTAATTAATATAATATGTCTCAAGTCTAGATTTTATTGGTGCACTGAGAAATTGATGATGGAACTGAAAAGAACACATATTTTTTTTCAGTTTTATTAATTTATTAATTATTTAAGTCGCATGCGGCTCATTAAATTATTTCTATTTGTGGAACAAACTTCCAAAATTTACAGGTAAAAATATTATCTATAATCTATTAAATATGCAAGTTAATAGATGTGTCACCAGGAGGATGCAAAGTTAAATTCAAAAGTTAATTTTAAGGAAAATTATCCTAAAATAATCCTAATCCTAAAATGTATATTGCTTATTATTTATTCAACTAAAGATAAATTTATTTGGGTATTAGAGCTCTCGGGAATTCCTAAACAAGATTTATAAGTTTATAAATATTTTATGGAAATTACTTCACATAAAGTTTTAACTATTTTTAATTGCTTCTTGTTATATCTGCTAATTTTACGGTCAATCAAAATTATTTTAACTCTTTATGAAAATCCTTTTTTGCGTTAGACTTTTTAAAACGTCCCACATAAAATATAAAATAAAAGTTGTAATTCAACGTGTTTTACCTGAAATAATTTTTGAAATCACTAGTTAATTAAATTAGAAATCCGTATATTTAAACGAGTTATTAATAGATAATGATCGTAAATACATTATTTTAATACTACCCAAAAATAGAAAAACAATCGGTGCACAAAATTATAGTTAAACACAAGCATAGTCGATTAGAAATATTTTTATAAAACTCACTCAAAGGAGTATTATCCTGGATCTTTCTTTAGTAGACGAATAACTTAAAAAATAATCACAGCGTTAAAAATTCATTTAGTCAGTAAAAATATTTTTTCAACCCTCTCTCAAATTTTTTGTTTTGGGATAGTCCTAGTTCGACTAGATTTTTCCTCTTAAAAAATAGTTACTTTAACAAAAATAATTTTTCGTCAAATAAGTTCTTATTATTTAAATTAATTTAATTTAATAAAATAGGTAATAAATTCAAAAGCTTTGTTTCTACACATATAAATTGTTCATTAAGAATGTATTTTTTTACATGAGATTATAATGCTTGATGATGCCAGTGGTGGTTATGTAGGGGGGACAATAGGTGAACTATTCCTCTTGGTCCATACCTTTTTTTAATTTAAATTTAATATTATAGGAAAATAATTTTTAACACGTTATAGATACGATTCTTATTGATTTATTATCATCAAAATTCATGTAATATTAATAATAAATTAAATTATTATATGATTATATATTATTTTTAATTTATAATTTTCGCCTCTTGTCAGTGATCTAGTTGTAAATTTATTAGTAAAAATAAGCTTAAATATCTTGATAGACGAAAGTAAGAGGCTTCGCCTCTACTCATCTCTTCCACTTTTTAACAATTGGCCTGATGTCCAACTATAAATAGTCATCGCCCGTTAAAAATAATATAAAAATGTGTAATAAATTATAAATAATATTACGCTTATCGCTCAATTACTTTTTTCAGTACATACTAAATACTTAAATCAACAATTTATATGCGGTGTATTTACACACACATAACGGGGAAAACGCCTTTGCCACAAACAGGATGTTGTTCTGAATTCATTTACTTCAATATCTGATTAAGTGGTTCTTACTCTTAATATTTGGTATTCTGAACATCTAATATATTAAATTACTATGCACATAACAATGACTAGAATATTACAGCAAAATTTGAAAAAAAAAATTAACAAAAACCGAAAAGTGGGTATACGCTGTAAACAGCCAAAGGCGAATTTAGATCTTATTTTATAAGGAGGATGACTTCATTTTATTTTAGTACGTAAATTAGAAAAATTGTTTGCTAAAAATTAGACCAAAAAAAAGGTCTTTAGAAACATATTTCGTAAATAACGGTTTTAAAAATATTAATAGTGCCGGTCCAGGGAGGACCATCGTCGTCCCTATAGTTCCCTCCTAATATATGCGTTTGATACCCGCGTGTCATATATTATTTTATGTGAATACACATTAACAGAAAAACTAAAAAGTGGGTATATGCTGTATACTCTCGATTACCACACTGCCACTTATTTATAACCACCATTCCTTGATTTCTATACTTAAATCATAATTTGAGCATTGTACTTAAATAATTTTAATTTAGCTTTTCTTTTTAAATTTCTTAGTGGATAAAAAACAATAAATATTTCAGTTGTAGAAAAATTCTAAAAACAAAAATTTTTACTGACGTAAAATGATATTATTTAAAGAAGGAAATCCTGTTACCTTTTTTTTTTTAATATTTATGATAGTTACTTATAAGTTTTAATTTTAGCTTAATTAATTATTAATAGTTAGTATGACTGTTTTTACTTATTACTCTGTTACATTCATTAGAAATATCATGTTTTATTTTTAAAAAAATGTATATATGGCGCACTCTAGGTAACCCGAAATGCTTATAAATTTTATTATAAAACTATATTGGCAACGTTGCAGAACATACGCGTATGATGAATTCAGTGGGGGTATAGCATTAGAGGTATGTTATTAACTGCGCGCGTACACGCTTACCCCCACTATCCTCTACCTCATCTAGTCTTATGGCCTATAGGGCGTTGCACGATGAATGCATTCCGCGGCTGCCAAGGACGGGTCGACCGATCGACCGACATTTTAAGTGAAGCCGCGTAAAAGTCGGAACGCTGCCCAATGTTTGCATCGATGTATTGTCAAATATTTTCAAGATGCCTGCATTTAAATAGTAAACAGTACTAATAATAAGTAGTAGAAACGATATATTATATCATAATAATAATATAATCCATAAGTCCATAAATATTATAAATTATAAATATCTCAAATATTTATTTAACTTAAGTGCATCGAAAGTGTTTTAAATTATCGTAATTACGTTTTTTTTATAAAGACCAGTACGGTATTCGGGAATTTTAATTTTTTTTTTTAACTGTTATACAAACACACGTCGTCTTCGAATTGCGCATTTTATTGGGTATTCTGCCCACAAAGAAAGCGACGAACAGCCTCCAATAAAATGGCCCTTGTCACCAATTTAGACGGGCCAACAAATTTACTCGATGAAAGGTGCAGTAAAACAAACGACAACAAAAAGATGCCTCCCTTTACTAGGGGAACATTTTACATCTATAAATTGTCTTATTAAAATTTTTTTTTATAATGCTTATATAAGGCTACAACATTAAGGCCTTGTGCAAAGAAATTACTAATTATTTCTGGGGTAAATAATATTCTTTATGAAATTATTAGTATTTTGGAAAATTCATTTTGATAAGGACAAAATTACACACGCTTTATTAAAGGTAAAAAATATGAAAATCGATTATTATTTTTGATATAATACGTGTTGTATGGGTATTGCCTATCCGTTGGTATGCGCTAATTTCTCATAGACGCCATCTTGGTTTTTATCATGATAGTTTATTCTGTTGGAACCCTCCTGCCTAATGCGTAAATTGTATCATATTTTATCCCCTCTTTTTTCGCTTTAACTATCTGTAAATTGACTCATGAACTTTATTCACCTTTCTCTTTGTTAATTATTGCATAATGCTAATATTTTTTTTTTTTATAATATTGACTAACGCGTCAATTATCTACATTAGTTTCATCAGTTCTGTGTAATAGACGCCATTTTAAATATTAGTACTGTGATATGATTATTTGTATTCTCCTAATATAGTGACTCGTTCACGTTAACACTACAATTGATGTCATCGTCGCGAGCGATCTTCGGCTATTTTAATTTGTATTACCATACAATTATTTTAATATTAACCACATATCATTTCTTGTCCATAAACCAAGACCGATATTTAATTTTAAATTTATTTATTTTCATTATTTTAATATTATTAGTCTTAAAAGTTGGGACTGTTGATTTTATATATTTAATCCCTCCCACATACACACATACTATAAAAATGGTATTACACTTACTAGGCGATGTCTCGCAAAGGTATCAGTATAATATTAAATCAATCAACATAATTGTATAATTTCTCTAAAAATGCTTAATTTAAAATTATTTGTTGGCTAGTGGTAAAATCCTTCTAAAACTTTCGTTTATTAATTAAAAGTAATAAGTATAAGCATAAAAAAAAGTCGAAAGAAGATACCAATTGCTTCTATGACAGTGACCTATTTTATTAAAATTAGACTTTAATTTTGATCATTAAGAACATCTATTAAAGAAGACGTATTTTCACAATAATTGTTATGAATGAGTACCCTTATATTCATTATTTTTTATTTTATACAGAAATTTTAGTTTTTAACCCATTTCTCTATAATTTTTACTATTTTCGTGGTTTAATTTTTAGGGAAAATACATAATAGTTTATAAAATTTAAAACTGCGACGTTGCCGCTTTTATCGCTAATTGTTAACTACCCCTTGCAGAACTGTATAAGTTCAGTACATACTATGAAATTTAATGTCAAATTGTCATATTTGTTCTAATAATTGAATACTTATTTTTAAATAAACCAACAAAAAATCATCGAAACTATGGAAACCCTTTTGATAGAAATTGATTTATTATTATATTCTATTTATTCAGATTTAATTACACTTAGTTTTTAACGAAAGTTGGCTCTCATTTGCCTTGAACATTTTATGATATAATGCAAAATAATATGCCAAAATGGATTTTCATAACAATACGTGTATTATCAATTTTTAGTTATGTATGAATTAATGGGGTTTTTTATGCCAATTAATTTTATGTATGTACTTTTTATTTCGAAATATATAGCTCTTTTAGTATCGTTGATGATTTAAATCAACACATGATAAATTTTTCTAATTAATAGAGAGTTTCGAGATTTGTCATTTTGTATAACTGTTTTAGTCTTATTAGAAGAAATTAGTCTAAATGTTACGGTATTATTAAAATTAATGAGAATTTCAACAAAATTATTTAAATAGAACTTTTTGTTTCTTAGATTTAAACAATTGAAAATATTTTCAATAATTTTTGAGGTTGACAAAAATAACTAAGCATTCATAATTCATATGTATATTTGTGGACAAACCTTAGTAAATTTGTAATAAGTGGGGAACGTCCGCATACATGCGTGTATAATATGTATTAATGTCAGTATATGTTTTGAGATAATTACCAACGATTGTTAACAGAGCTACAAATTAACGATTTTATATTTTTTTTATTACTGGCAACGCAGGAGATGGAAATAAAATATTGATTATATAATAAAAATAAAAACTTATTTTTGTTAATGTAATGCTTAATATCAAGATGTTCGGACCTTTTTTTGGTGGGTTTAATAACTACGATATTAATTAATTTTGGTAAAATACTTTTTTAATAACATTATGGCAATAGAGTATCTCATGCGTGATTGTAAAATCAAAATTTAAATTTGTAGAATATAAAATATCAGTTTAACCAATTACTATCAATATTTTAATAAAGCGAAATATTTTTCACGACAATGCATTTTAATAATCATCAATTTTCCAAATGTCAATATTGCAAAAATTGCGGAACGATTAAATAATTCTTCCTTTGTGTCTAAATTGATTAGTAATAGTTATAACTTAAACTTGGGTATGGAATGCTAATGTTTTCAACTCTATGACTACTTTTACTTTAAAATTAGAATGAAATAATATTACTAAATAACTATAATAAAGACGTTAAAATGCAGTTAATTACCAAATAGTGTTTGGTTAATTTATTAATTAATTAAATTTTACTCTATATCATGAATGTCCTTAATAAATTTTATATATTAAACGCCTTAATGTGAAATTTAACAATATTACACTTAAAGCAATTTTTTTTCTAAATTTCTACTTAGTTGAAGAAACTAAATTAAATTATTCATCATACATTTATAAATATATATGAGTCAATGTATATAATCCTCAAATAGTTATTTCGATTTCTATATTTTTATTTTAAATAGTTTCAGTTATACGCGTAGTTGATATATTATCTAAAATAATAATAATAATAATAATCCATAAAACAAAACAAAATTGAATATAATTTTCAATTGCTAGTTGATATTAAACTGGTTGGGTCGAGTATTTGTTTTTCTAATTATATCACTAAAGCTATTAAACATATTTGTATTTTTTTAGTATCAATGTTGTTCATTATATTTATTAGGTGTTTTATTTAATGTAGGGACCTCATCAGATCAGAAATAATTTTATTAGATTATCTACTAATAATATTTTTTTTTATTTAACTCTGTCTAAGGATATAATTTTGATATTATTTTACTCTGTATATTTAAGGTATTATTGTTGCCCTAAGTATACTTAGTTACTTGTTTATCCTTCAATATAGTTAAAAAAATTTTAATTAATAAAAAAATGTTGAATTCCTAAATTTTAGTGTTATACATCTTATTTACTTATTTTATCTTTATAATGTGAAATTATTGTCTAATACTTACATGTTTATTTATTTACAAATATTTATTAATTCATCAATTTTTTGCACATGGTTTTTATGTTTTTAATTGACCTAAGAATTTTTAATTATAAGACTTAATTGTGGATATTTTTATATAGTGTTAATGACTGTGAAAAAGAAGATGGAGAAGATATCGAAGATGGAGAAATTTTTGATGAAGAAGATGAAGGGGAAAGTGAACCTAATGTTGCAGAGTTATCTAAAAAAAGTTCTGAATCAAAGTCAGTTTTATTAAATGAAAGTCAACATACAGAGGACCATAATGAAAAAGATTTTGATCAGTGGGACATGGTATAAAATTGTTGATAATTATATAAAAATATTGTACAAAAATTTAATTTATTTAATTTTAGGGGCAACGAAATCAACCACCTTATTCAAAAACGAATACAGCATCTAATAAAACCTTTACGGGTTTTAACAGTAGTAGACCCAGACTTGATAGATTTTCAAGAAACAAGGGTTCTTTAATAAAACGAGATGTGAATTATCATGTAGATGAAGAAAGACCTAGGCGAAAAAGAAGGAGATTTGATTTAATAGAAGAAAAAGTATCGCCAAATAGGAATACTCCTAATGTAAATTAAGTTACTTAATATTTTGTTAAAGTGATCATAATTTTTTCCAAATAAATTTTAGGGATTACTTAAAAAAAGAAAAAATAATGAGACTGCTACTGATCTCATAGATGGAGTCAATGAAGAAGAGATGATGTACGTCAGAGGTTCTAGTCCTGAAATAAAAAATTTTGAGTTTTCTAGGGACTTTGGTAAATATTTTATTATTATATTTTGTTAAAAACATAGGCTAATTTTGACTTTAACTATGAGATATATAAAGTTTTCTTATTAAATAAAATAATGTATAAAATTATTCGATTCAATAAAAATCTATCCATACCCCTAAAAATTATCTCTAAAGTCACCTCTAATTTTATAGTATGACTTAAAATTAACATTGATAACTTTTAATTAAATATAATTATATATATTTTAAAAGAAGGAGCAGGAGCAGGAGGAGATGATGATTATCATAATCCTAGAGAAAATTTTAGCCGAAGAGGTAGAGGTAGGAGAGGTGAAATTGATCGCCGTACAAGAGGTATGGGTTCAAAACGGCGAATAGGCTTAGGTGCTCCAGCTAAAGCTAAAAGATCTGATGATGAAGAAAAAATTTGTCAATATTTTCTGCAGGGTAAATGCCTGAAGGTAAAATAAACTAATATAGTTTTAAAAAATTGTAGATTATACTATTGATTCAACTATATAATAGGAAAACAACTGTACCTATTCTCACCAGCAACCAAATGGTAGAAAAATGGAATTATGTAAATTTTATTTGATGGATCGTTGTAGTAAAGAAGACCGTTGTACATTTATGCATAGTGAATTTCCTTGTAAATATTATCACACTGGTATGAAATGTTATTCTGAACCAAATTGTCGTTTTAGTCATGCTAAACTAGATGAAGACCAAAAGAAAATTTTACTCAAGGTATTACAAAAAGTATAGTGTAATGAGTATTATTCATAGAATTTTATTTAATCAATAATAACACTTTTTATATTTTTAGTCATTTGGAAAGTTACGGTATGATCCACCTGAATATGAAAATCATAATGATAATTACAAGGTACTAAGTCATTACAAAAAAATTACTACAATTTAAAAGTTTATTTTTAAAGAAATACAAATTTTAAATATATAATTATATAATTCATAATTATAATTATAAATGTATGTTGAGTGTATGGTGTTCTTTTTTTAAAGAAGTATTTTTTAACAAAATTATTCTGTATTTGTAAAATCATGTGCATTATTTTTTTAAGTAAATTTTCTTGAAGGCGTGTGAAAATTATACACTGCACAAATATGTAAAATCAATTAGATATAAATATTATAATAAATTTTAGTTATTAACTAATTTAAATTATAATAACTTATGATAAAAATATTTATTTTTAGAAAAAATATGAAGAAGATTCCAAAACATTGACTGAAAACAACTTTATTGCTAAAAATGACAAAGCCAAAATCCCTTCATTATTAGAAATGCAAATACCAGTTCCTTTTGCATTAAAAAATACAGATAAAATAATAATGGATGATGATCCTGGTAAATTTTAAATTAACATTAAAAAACTTTGAGTCATGTAACAACATAAGTGTTTTATTAAAAAATAAAGATATTTACTATCATGTATTACAATTATTTACTGACCAAGGTTAAATTTCTTGTTTTTAAAATTAAATATAAATTTATAAAAAGTTTAAACAAGTTTCAATTCATTACTACCATGAAAAATATATTATAATATACTAATATTATGTTGTGATTTTTAGAAGCCAATAATAATAACAGTAGTACTCCAATGCCATCACCTTCAAGAGATGAAGTAAATCCTGACAATTTGTGAGTAGAATTTATTGTTAATAAGCGTCAAAATAAATTGAATAATTTTAAGTAGTTCTATTGATATTTAGTAACTATATGTTTTATATATGGATTATAAAACCATATTATGTTTAGTTTTATAAAGCTATATTAAATTCTATTTAATAATTTTCTTTGTATTATTATATCACGATAAATTTCTGTAAATTACTAGTTTTCACTTGAAAATACCAATATTTTTATGTATATTTGTCTAGACACATACAATCATTGAATTTTAATGAGGAAAACATTTATTGAATGTAAAAATATATTTTCAAAGATTTAAATATTTTGTGGGCATTTGTAAAAGTTTACTTTCTTTCTTGGTAGTGATAATAAAATTGATTTATTTATTAATTTTGTCCTAATTTTTCCAATTCAAACTCTATATATATGTAATAATTCATTTTTTTCTAAATTTACTAAAATATTTTTTAAATATTGAAAGACTACATTTTTTTATTTTTAATTTAGCGAAGTGAATGAGAATGAACAATACATGAATGCTCAATGTAACAATCGTTCTCAACATAAAGGTAGAAAACATGATAAAAGACAAAAACATGATAAAGCAGCCCGTAAGAAACATAGAGAAGAAAGATATGAAGAAAAAAGACTTGAAAAAATCAAACAAAGAAAAGAAGACATAGTCTTACCACCACTTGGTGAACACTCAATGTTAGATGACCTTAGCGATAATGATGATGAATTTAATGGTGTGTAAATTAACTTTCAAAATTATCAGTAGATTGTAAAATTTTGTTTTGCATAATTTTCATTATTTTAGATCTTGTAATTGACGAAGAGAAATTTCCTCATGAAAATAAAGAACAACTATTACCAAAAAAACAAAAAGAACTTTTAAAACGAATTCAAGTTCAACAAAAATATGTAATTTAAATATAATTTAAAATAATTATTTTTATAAAAAAATAATTTCTTATACCTAATAATTATTATTTTAGTATAGCGAAACTGATGGCAGTGAAGACCACTGTAGCAATCTTGAAGATCGTTATTCAAGTGATAGTCAGGAGCAAAGTTCTCATAATTCTATTAGCAACTTGTTTAATACACTACAAAATTCTGGAAAAGAAAATTTTCAAAATTGTTCGAATTCTGAAACACAGAGTTCTAATGTAGAAAAAGTAAATTTTTGAATTCATAAATTTCAACTATGAATTTAATTTAAAATATTTAAATTTACAACTATTAAATACTACTTTTTTATATTATATTATAAATAAAATCACACCTTTAAATTTGAAAATTTTATTTATATTTAATTTCTTAATTTTTAAATAATATTAGGTCGATTTGGACAAAATTACTATTAGTGAAGATATAGCAAAACTATTAAATAGTATAAAAGCCCAAGTTGGAAATGATCAATCAAATAAGGAACAATCATCACCTTTTCATTTGCCACCTTTAGGACTACCTTTTGAAGGATCGATTCAAGAAAAGTATGGTTTTAATAATATAATACAACTCAAATTACTATTATAAAAGTGCACTGAATGACCTAAGTTATTAAGATTCTAACTTAATTATTATTATTTTATCATTGATAATATTATATTCACAGAAAAAAATTTTAACTTGTATTTTAATTATTTAATGTTAATAATAATGAATGATCATTTTTTCTACTTTTAACTAAATCAATAGTATTTAAAGAAAACAAAATAAATGTACAAACTCTTTTGTTATATTACTTTTCATCTAAATATTTAATTTCAAAATTAGTAATTTTGATAAAAAGATCCACATTTTTATTAAAAAACTTAAGACTTTAATACTTTATGAGACTGTTAATCAATATTACTTTACAGAACAATGAGTATTGAAGAATCTCCTGCTAGCCCAACATGCAATAGTGATAATGCAATAGATTTAGGAAAATCTGATGTTGATCTTAGACAACTTCCATTTCAATTTCCTGTTGCAGCTGCTACTGAAATTGAGGCTTCTTTTGACAGTCACCCTCCTATGAAATATCATGTGCTTCCAACTCAAGTATCTGTGCCTGATTATTCAAAAATCCCACCAACAGTAATATTAATATTTTTACAAAAATTAATTATATTAAATACTAAAATGTTTGTTATTTTTTTATCACATAGATGGGAATTGATGATCCACGTCTTAGACGTAGTATAACAGCAGCTAGAGATCCAATATTTATTCCAAATACTCCTATGGTTAATCCTGTTGTAATAAGACCCGTAGCTTCACAAAAAAGTGCTCCTCGTGATCCTCGTAAACCTCAGCAAGATGTTAACTCTTGTGGTACAACTATCCGTCCTCCACTTTTACCAACCCCAGACACTATGCTACTTCAAAGACCTATGGATAGTGATATGAGACAAATACCTTCTTCTATGATGTGTCCACAAATGATGGCAGTCCCAAATGATCCTCGGCGAAAACAAGTTGTACCCGGTGATCCCAGACAAAGACAAAGATTTGATGTTGACCAGAGAATCAATAACATGAATAACTTTAATTTAATAAATTTTAAATAAGTATAATTATAATAAATAGCTATGTATACATACTTAATGTAAATATATCTTAATATATTGTAATGTATATTATATTTTTATATTGTATAAAGTATTAATAGTTAAATATTAAAAATGTATAAATTATTACAGTATTTTTTTTAAATATTAGTAAAATGTTGTTATCATTTTAGTAAAAATTAAATTAAAATTATAAAGACTTACAAAAAGTGCCTCAACTTTAATTAGTCATTTAATTAATAGGATTCAATCTATTGTTTACTTGCTATCTAATATTTTTTTATTAATTCAAAGTATTTAATTTTTAAATAAGAATTATATTTATCAAATTTTTGTTTAAATATTAAAAAAATAACTTCTATTGGTATAATAATATTTATATAATTGATAAACATGGAATTAAATGGGAGAGTAAATTTTATTTATTATCTCCAGGAAAGTCAGAAAAAGTGAGTTATTACCATATTTGTTGTACATATAAGTAGTGGCGTAGCCAGGAATTCATAAGATGGTGGCATAGTAATAAAATTCTATAATTTTGACCTTTTTTTTTTAGTTACCACTATATTTTAGAGATGAACATTGCTGTCGATAATGACATGGCATGTCACTGAATATACCTATTAAAAACCTTTTTGTAAACTTCGATTGAAATAAATTATGATTAAGTAAATAAAAAACAACTAGTTATTAATTGAAAGGTACAAAGAAAAACGGTAATTGTTCATTTCTGTACATTTTTCAAGAATAAAAATAAAGTAATAAATTATTATCCTTTTTTAATGATAAAACAAAAATATGCACCTAAATATTAAAAAAATTAAAGCATCGAATAGATTTTATTTTATTAATATGGGCTATCGATCAAACTATAAAATCAAAATTGAAAAAAATAAATAGTTTTTTTTTTTGTACCCTTCAATTGTCATGGGTTAGTCCAGCCAAAGATAGCATAAACACTCTTTGCTTTCCTAATGCATACTCCTATGTAACATTAATAGATTAAAAAAATTGTTTAATTAAATTGAAAAAAAAAATTGAATTTTTTCTAGTTTAAAATCTGTATATTTTGAAATCTTTTCATATATAAGCTGGATTTACTTAATAATTATAAATATTGTAACGAATTTTTTTTAATACTCGAAATGATTTCAACTAAATTCAATTTCGATTATTTTGAACTATTGATTAACTAAATCAGTTCATTGAAAGCTGAAAAAATGTATATCATGACAATACAATACATCAACAGTTTTTTTATAAAAACTACAAAAAAATCATCCGATAATTAACAAATATTAGTACTATTTATAAATTTGGTTTATTTAAAATGTTTGGTGTCTAACATTGTATTATTTGAGATGGTTTTTTCTTAATTATAACATTTAAAATTTTGAAGGTACTTAATACCTCTTGGCCTATTCCGAAATCACTTATTTAATTTTCATCCTCCTACTCAGAGAATAGACAAATATTATGGGATTTTGTGTCATGAGTTAAATAACATAAAGGTATTATTACAATATTGAAATACACTGAAACATTTCTAGAATCTAGATTTCTTTAAAATATCGCGCAGTTTTATCTTTAATAAAAATACTTATTTTTCCATGATAATAAATGATAACCTCAAATGTCTAATATTTGAAAAACATTGTTTAAATTATAACGAAACACGTGCGGGTGTCATAGGTTCGGCGAGGTACAATATCTTAAGCATTAAAAAAAATTCAGTATTCTAAATTAATTACTATGTGTTCGTTATAACTGTACTAATTGTTAGTTAACTTATATTTTATGACTTTTATATCAATTGACATTTAATAATTCATCAATATGTTGGTTTTATTCGAGACTTCTGCTGGTTATGCAATATTCAAGGTATTTAAATAATTGAAAACGCACTTCAATTTTTTATAGATTGGTTTTAAAAATTTAAATATCTTATTTTGTAGTTATTAGACGAAAAGAAACTGAAAAATGTCGCCGACCTTTATAACTATTTCCAGACACCAGAGGAGTCAAATAAAATGTATGATTGTTATGTTTGAATAAACATTAATAATTGAATGAAAGATTAGTTATTTTTAAATGTTTTAGATTTGATACTTTATATATTTATTTATTAATAATTAAATAAATTAAATATTGTAATAATATTGAGGTTTCTTATTTTGTAGTGTGACTTTGAAACATTTTCAAAAATTTGAAGATACTACTGAAGCCTTAGCATCAGTTGCATCACTAATTGAAGGGAAATTGAGCAAATCCTTGAAAAAGGTATGATCATTTTTTATTTATTTAAAATTGTCATGTAATTAATTTAAAATTGAATGCATCAATACAGGTCATCAAGTCTCATGTCGGTAGTAATGAATCATTAATGGTAGCCGATCCTAAATTAGGTTCTGCTATTAAAGAAAAGTTCAATATAAGTATAGTGTCTAATACAGCAGCTTCTGATTTACTGAGATGTATCAGGTCACAATTTGATAACTTAATAGTAGGTCTTCCAAAGAAAGACTTGACAGCTATGTCTTTAGGTCTTGCTCACAGGTAAATTATCTTGAGTAAATAGTTTCGACTAAATAATATTAATAAATTATTTTGTAAAATTATTTAATTTGTAAATCAAAAATAAATTAAATACTTTTTTTTTTTCAGTTTATCTCGGTATAAACTTAAATTTAGTCCTGATAAAATAGATACTATGATTGTTCAAGCAATTGGTTTATTGGATGAATTAGATAAAGAAGTGAATAATTATATTATGAGATGTAGAGAATGGTATGGTTGGCATTTTCCAGAACTTGGAAAGATCCTTACTGACAATTTAGAATATGTTAAAACAATTAAAGCTCTTGGTAATTAAATAATTACAGGATCATTTATAACTATACATTTTGTTAATGGTTTGTTTTTGTTTTTAGGTATGAGAGAAAATGCTAAATCTATTGATTTGTCAGCTATTCTAAGTCCTGCTTTAGAAGAACAAGTGAAGACAGCAGCTGAAATTTCAATGGGTACTGAAATAGCAGAAGATGATATTCTTCATATTGTTCAAATGTGTGATGAGGTAATTTTTTTATATTTCCCTGTTCTAAACATTTGTAATGGTAATTAATAAACAAAATTTGTGTTTATTAATTAGATACTAGATATATCAACTTATCGAACATCTCTTTCGGACTATTTGAAATCTCGAATGATGGCAGTAGCGCCTAATGTAACTGTTCTTCTTGGTGATTTAGTTGGAGCAAGAATACTAGCTCAAGGAGGTAAATAACAAAATTTTACAGTTTTTACAACATTCATCTTTAGTCTGCATGTGTATTACTATTTGTGATCTTTTAAAATGAAAATTACTTCAACAGACCAGTTACTCATGATCTTTTTTTTTTTATAGGTTCATTGGTCAATGTAGCTAAAATGCCTGCTTCTACAATTCAACTTTGTGGAGCTGAAAAAGCTCTATTTAGAGCTCTTAAAAAAAAACACGACACACCCAAATATGGTCTTATTTATCATTCCAGTTTAGTGGGTAGGGCAACAGCAAAAGTTAAAGGCAGAGTACGTTATTAAAATCAAAATTTTTATTTTAAATTAAACAATTTATTTTTCTTTTAAAAAATTTACAGTAACTAATCCTAAATTGTGGTAAAGTAATATTTGTATTTATTATATTATAATCTGTTTAATGTAGATGTCTCGAATGTTGGCTGCTAAAGTAGCATTAGCGGCTCGATTTGATGCATTTGGTGAATCTGATACAATAAGTATGGATTTAGGTACAAATCATCTATCTAATTTAGAATACAAACTTCGTCTAATGGAAGAAGGTTCTATGACAAGGATAAGTGGAACTTCAAAAGCAAAAGCAAAGTTTGAAAAATACCAAGTTAAGAGGTTTGGGCACATAACACTTCTTTTGATATTGTTACAATCTCAAGCAATTATTAACTACTTAATTTTCTAGAGAGGTTGTTCAATATTCAGTTGCAGCTGACTCTACTATACCCAGTAAACGTAAACTAGAAGAAGCCGAAATAAAACAAGAATATAATGATAAATTAACATTGAAAGAGGTTAAGCAAGAACCAGATGATGAAAGTAATTTAAATAACTTAATAGTTAATTTAAATATATTTAAAAAATTTTATTAAAATTTTTAATTTATTAGCTCAACAGCCACCTAAGAAAAAAAAGAAGAAAAACAAGGACCAAGCTAATAGTGATTCTAACTTGGAAAATGGTTCTGATATGAAAGTTAAAAGTGAACAAAATTCAATAGTTGATGAAGGCATGTTTCATATTTTTATAAATATTTAAAATTAATTAGTTAAATGATATTCATGTTTATTTTTTTCTAGGTCAAACTCCAAAAGAAAAAAAAAAGAAGAAGAAGAGAAATGCAGAAAACATAGAAGTAGAAGAAACTAATGTTATTGAAAATGGTAAAAATTACTTTATTATTATATTATTATTTATTTATTATAAAGAAATATTTTTTTTTAATAATTGAAATATAAAAGTAATCATTTTGAACTTAAATGTTACATTCTCTGAGGTGTACATGACTCATAGTGAAATTCATTACCTATAAATTACTTCTATTTTTAGAGCATATCAGTAGGTAACTTTTACTAATCGATTGAGGATGGCTGATGCTGTTTTAGTTTAATTCTATTATATTAAGCTGTATAAGTTTACTGACTTCTTTAGTACTAAAATATATTTTTTTTAATTTTTGATGTTTATTTTGTTACTATTTAAATTTAAAATGTTAATAATTTACCCAAAATTTTGATTTTTTAGAAACTCCAAGTAAAAAAAAGAAAAAGCAAAATAATAATCTTTTAACCGATGATGTTGAAACTTCAATTAATGAATCTGTTGGTAAGTTATTTGTGTTTCTCTTTCTAGCTCTCTATATTTTTACTATTTTATAATTTAAAATGTTTTTTTCTTATGAACTATTTTACACTAGTTGAATCTGGCAAAAAGAAAAAGAAAAAAAATAAAGGTGGTGTACAAGATGATAATGGTAAGTGATTCAGATTAATTGTTATGTATATTTTTTTTTTCTTTATTTATTTATATATTTGTTTATTTAGAAGTTGCTGCAACTTTAGTACAAGAAGATATAGTAACCAAAAAGAAGAAAAAAAAATCTAAAGGGTTAGAGTAGCGATTAAAATATTTCTTTGTATTCTATTCATTATTATTAATTAAGAATTTTCTTAATTGTATTTTCTGTATTTAATTTAGTCTAATGATAAATAGACTCAAATTAATAAAAATAAAATGATTATTTAAATATTACCCGTGATAGATATTCTAATAGAGTGATATTCTATTACTATAACATGGGTTATGTAAAAGAGATATTATTTAATATCAAAGTGTGACAATATTAATACTTATTCATTGATACTAAGTTTTGCACCTTAATGAAAAACAATTTATTACTGCATTAATTATTTGTCTTTATGAACATATATCTAGAACCAGACTCGGTAAGGTAATTAAATATTTTTTATAAGGAATCCAGATAGCTTTTAGAAAGTAAAGTAGTGGGAAATCCATTCTTTCATTACTATTTTATGTCAAAGGGATGGTTGACCTAGGAACTCCTCTCTAGGTTGTATTACTGACCAGACTCATTTTTTTATAAAATAAAAATTATATACTAAACCTTTTAATTGATATCAATAATACTCATTAATTCTTATTTAATTAAGATAAAATTTTATTTTATAGAATGTAAGGCAAATATACTCTATTATATGTAACTGGATAATATGAATAATTCCCATTTCGACTAATGTCTACCTTGGCTATACTAATGAATTTAATAATTTTTTTATCGTTACAAGATAGATAATTATAATATGTAGAGTTGTAAGAAGACATATACGCAATCAAGTACTTATATAAACTTAATTACTGCCAGAATATTGATGTTTTCTATTTTGTACTGTTTCACACAGTCTATCTGGGCTAATTTAAGTGTTAAAATATTTCAATGGCGTTTTTCAGGACCTAATTTTATTAAAATAGGTGAATTTTTTCACTACTCGTTCTACCATGTTCTAAAAGCTATCTGGAAACTCCCCTCCTTGTACAAAGTTTCTAAATTTCCCACTGAATTATTATTATATTGATATTTATATCCATGTTACAACTTGTTCAACATTTCAAACTTAAACATTTGTATGATTTACAAATAATTAGAATTTATGAAAATCCTGGCTGCATATACTAAATAAGTGCACTTATTTTAATGTAATACAATTAAATAGTTTACACTTATATTTTTACCAAAAAAATTAACATTTAAATTTCATCATAAACATAATAATAATTACTATAATAATAGTCATTAATATACCTATGATAATACTTATAATTTTTGACCGAATATAAATATCTGGATGCAATGACCTGGTTACATATACGCCACATCGTGTTCCAGCCATGATTTAATAAAAGTATTAACCAAGATAAAAACTTTTTTACTTGCATGAAAAAAATGTTTACAATTATTATTTATTTGTAGTAAAATTAACAACCTAATAAGATATATATATATATATATATATTTAAATTTGTGCATTATATTTTATATTAAACATTTTTTTATTAAAATTGTATAAATTGGTCTTTCAACTTAAAAAATTAAAAAAAGTATAGTCGGTATCCGCCATAGTAGTGTAGTCACTATTATTGACTAAAATCTGATGGTAATTAAAATCACTATCATTAAATGCTTCGATACAATTGTGCTTAAAAGAAATTATTCTAACTTGTTAATTATAATTTCAGTTTTGAAATTTTAATTCATTAATAGTAATTGGCAGTTAGAATATATGTATATATATATTTAGGAAAATTAGTTTTGATTTAGTATATATTTAAAAAAACCCAGCACAGGGGTGGCGGCACAGTGGGGTCGTGGCATAGTTGGGTCCAGTATAGATGATATCTGACAGTTATTAAAATCACTATCATAAGAAACGCTTCGATGCAAATCTGTAGATAGTGTTTAATTAAAAAAAAAAAAATTTGTTAAAATAGCATATTTTTGAATATGGTAACCATTTGCGTATAGAAGATAGGTCGTCGGGACTAGTTTTTTTTTTTATTTTATAGTACACAAAATAAGCTTTAATTTGATATATGTTTAAAGGACGCAGTATTTCCGTTGAAAAAGTTATTTTTTGTAAAAAAGTTACTATTTTAAATCCTCCCAGTGAGCAGAATAAGTGTTAGATTTTCAAAAAAAATTATATCAAATGAAAGGGAAATATCTAAGGTTTCAATACAAAGAAATATTATTTTTATTTGTTCATTTTTGAAAAAGTTATGGCAGTTTTAAGTAACAAAAAACATCCCGATAAAAGATCATTTTTATCGCAAACATTACATTTTTTTTTAATTTTCGACAGCCATTTGCACATAGAAGATAAGATGTCGGGACAAATTTTTTTTTTTCATTTGATAGTATATAACATAACCTTTGATTTGATATATGTTTAAAGGACGCAGTATTTCCGGAACATTTTCAAAAGTTCAGTTGAAAAAGATCTATGTTTTTTACAATATTTCAAGTTTTGAACGCCCCCTATATAAGGGGAAATTGTCCAATTTTAATAAAAAGTATGTCAAATGAAAGATGTACTTATAATGTATTTAGAAAAAAAAATTTGTGCTGATATATACACTTTTCAAAAAGTTATAGCATTTTTAAGTTGAAAATTTTAACAAAAAATAGTGGTTTTTTAACTACGGCAGCAGTTTAAATGTAGAAGATAAAGTGTCGGGATAAATTTTTTTTTCCATTTTATAGTACATAAAATAAGCTTTAATTTGATATATGTTTAAAAGACGCAGTATTTCCGGAACATTTTCAGAAATGAAGTTGAAAAAGTTAGTTTTTGTAAAAAAGTTGCTATTTTAAATCTCCCCCAATGAGTAGGTTAAGTGTTAGATTTTCAAAAAAATGATATCGAATAAAAGGGAAATATCTAAGGTTTTAGTATAAAAAAAAATTATGTTGATTTTTCAAAAAGTTATGGAAGTTTTAAGAAAAAAAA